TAGTATTTACGTCTAATAGTCTATAACGTTTTTTTCCTTATATAATAGTCTACCTATAGATCGTTATAGTAGATTCTTATAATTTCTTAGTAGATTATAGGTTCGTCTTTAGGAATATAGATATAGTTATTATATCTTAGTAGTCTATCTTAGCTTCTTATACTCTATTATATCTTTAGGGGTTATTTAAAGTCGCCGGTTTCCTATACCCTTCTAAGCGTATTCCTATAGAACTTATTCTTTACCTATATCTTAAATATAAGTTCTACTATAGTTTCTAACGGCTTATAAATATATATAGTTTCTTCTTTAGCTATTTCGCGTATCTTCTTTTAACTTAGTAGTCTATTTATCGTAGATTTAATAGGGATCTCTATATATATTATAGTTATTATAGCGCTTAGATATATTATATCCTATAGATCCCTTTAGTAAATAACGCCTTTATTAATAATCTCTTTAAGTCTCTATATAAAGATATTATAATTTATAGCGTCTAAAGGCTTATCTACTATATATTTAGGTCGTTTATTAAGAGTATCTATAAGATTCGTTTTCCCTAAATAGAATATAATAATAAAGTTAAAACCTATAAGGTATTCTATCTAGCGTACTTAGCGTCTTATAAGCTTTTTAGTCGTTATAAATTAGATAAGATTAGCGTAATCTATTATTATTATAATCGGGTACTTATTTCCTTTAAAGAAGTAGCGCTATTCTTTAAACCCTATAAAGATTACTAGTATTTCTTAGTCGCCGATCTAATAATTTCTCTCTACTATTAGTATCTTCCGGGAATAGAAGGTAATAAGGTACTAATATCTATCTTTATAAAGCTATAATATAATTATATAAATAGTAGCTTCTAATATATCCGTTTCTATTATAGTTTTTAATATAGTGTTAAAGTATACGAGTATCGGCGTAGTCTAGAAAGCGGTCTTAGTCCTTTTAAAAGCTTCTTATACTTCTTCTATAAAAACGAACCCTTCTTAGCGCTTATTTCTTCCCTTCTTTTATATATCTAGCCCTTTAATTAGATTATTAAGGGGGGCGCTAATTATCGACTATTTTCTAATAAAATATTAGTAGAAGTTAGTAAAGCCTATAAACTACTATATATTAAAGATATAGGTCGGCTCTAGCTACTAGTTTATCGTCTCTACTTAGGTAAGGTCTATAATAATTCTATAGCGGGAGATAATAAAGCTTAAGAAATTAACTCTTTTTATATAGAATATATACTTACTAGGTTTAATAAATAACCTCTACTTAATTAGGCGTTCTAGTACTTCTTAGACGTAATATATATAGGTCTCTTTATCCTTTAAGAAGATTAGTATATTATTAAGATATACTACTAGATAGACGTTAATAAGTCTTACTAAGGCTCTATTAATATATATTTAGAAAGTAGTAAAAGTATTAGCGAGTCTAAATAGTATTACTATATATTTAAAATATTTATAGTAGTATCTAAACGCTATCTTCTACTTATCTTCCTATTTTATATAGATCCTATAATAGGTATCTTATAGATCTAGTTTAGTATAGATCTATACTCCTAATAATCTTACTAAGGACTTATTAATTAGTAGTAGAGGATAGTAGTTCTTAATAGTAATTATATTTAACCCTCTATAGTCTATATAGAGTCTAAGCTTACTATCTTTCTTTAGTATAAAGAGGATAGGTATACCTAATTAACTCTTTAAGTATTAGATCTAGTCTTTTTCGAGGTTCTCCTTAATATATTAGCGGAGGACTTCTAACTCCTTAGCGGATAATATATATACTAGCCTCTAAAAAGGTATCTTACCTAGTATTAGCTTAATTACGTAATTATACTCTATATAGATTAGAAAAGCTATAGTACCTTCTTTACTCGCTATAATAGTTAGATCTTAGTACTCTAATAAGAGTTTAGTTAGAGGTTATACTAGATAGGAGATCCTATTTAAGCTTTATATTATCTCTAGTATTACTATAAACTCCCCGATAACCTTATCGATATCTAAATATAGCTCTCTAAGTATATCTTATAGTCTTATTTCTTCCTTAAAGTCTTTTAGTAGGAGGGTTTTAATCTTTAGCGGGGCTATATTTTTATATACTTACTTACTAGTTACCTAGTTAATATCCGGATTTATTAGTCTAAGCTAATCTATTTTTAGGATTATATTATAGATTATTATATCTATAGCTTTATAGGTTATTTTAATAACTCTATAGATTCTATTCCGGTCTATTAGGCTAAGCTATACTTCTTAGCTTCTATATAAAGAGATCTTACACTTATTTACGGCTTCTATTAGGCGGGTATTTATTATATATATCTTTTCTAGGTTCTCTTTTACCTATTTCTAGCTTACGAAGCTTTAGGTTATACTACTATTTATTAGTATCTTAGCTACTCTTATTAGGGCTCTAGTCTTAATATCTAATATTAGTACGTTATAGATAAGTACTCGGTATACTCCCTTACGTTCTCCGAAAAGAACTATCCTTAATACTATAGGAATCTATAGTATAGGGTTATCTATTTTTTTAACTCTTCCGCGGCTATAGCGTTTATTATAGCTTTTTTATAGTAGTTCTTTATATAGTAGCCCGGTTTACTATAAAAGTTATAAAATTTACTATCTCCGCTTTAGTCTTATTTAGATCCTATAGTAGCTTTTCTACTCTCTATAATAGTTATAGCTTATTATATAGAGGAGGCGCTATTTCCCTTAAAGGGTCTTCTACTAGATTCTTATAAGTCTATAATATTTCTTAGCGTTATCTTCTTAGTCTCTCTAAAATATAATATCCTACCTAGTATTACTTTCTTAATTTAGTTATAGAAGGCTACCTAGTTATCCTATTAATCTATAATAGGGGCTATAAATCTTCTTACTTTATCTTATACCTCCTTAATAATATCTATCTCTAAATAGTCGATTCTTATTTATCTAGTTAGCGTATCTTTTAGGCGGTTATAGAGTCTAATAAATTTTAAAGTATATTAGTATATATCTTAATACTTAGCTTATATTATCTATTATTAGTTATATTTAGTTTCTCGCTATATCTCGATAGGGTTAGTAATCTAAGTAAGCGCTTATATTTTAAAAACTAACTAAGTAAACGTTATATCTAGATTATTCCTATAGTATTCTATCTATATTATATTAATCTTTAGCGCTAAAAACTTAGTTACTTAATCTATCTTATATATATCACTAGCGAACTAATTAGGATATCTATTCTAGAAGGCTTCCTAGTTTAACTTAAAGAGATTATATTCGCCCGAACTCTTAGCTCTATATATTATTATATTATAGAGTATATATAGTTCCCTTACTTCCTTCTAGTAGGATAGGTAGCCTTCGGTACTTCCTTATAATATAATTAAGTTTATATAGGTAGTATTAGATAGTTAGTAGGTAATTTAGTTAATAGTACTATCTAGCGAACCCTAATAGATCTTAGATCCTTATATTCTCGCTTATAGGATTACTACGTTTTCTTCTTCGTCCTATAGCTCCGCGTAAATCCTATTTTTCTCCTTTACTAGAGCTAGACGTCTTTTAAGGGTCTCTAACTCTTAGAGTTCCGTCTCCTTATCTACCTTAGTCGGGGTTATTAGATCCGGCGGGTTTCCTCCCTAAGGGTTATCGTCGACTCCCTATATCTCTACCTCTTCTAGTAGGGGTTATAGGGGTCCCGGGACGTCGTTCGTTTCCGCGATCGGGGCTAAGACTCCCCTTAGGCGGTCGCTCGTACGTCGAGTCGTTAATATTACGTATTCTAACGGTCTAGTTCAATTAAGATTTAGCGATTAGAATGTTAGGACCGGCGTGCTAGCGGGTCCTAGTAGGTAATATAGAACTAGAGTAAAGGAATAGTAGGGTGCTAGTATATTTATAAACTAATCGCTAAAGAACTAAGTTCCCTTAGTAGTCTCTATATAGATGACCTTTGGCGGGTCACGGGACTAGGTCACCTGACCCGGTAGGACTCAGTCTTCCTGGTGCAGTCTCTGGCGGGGGGTCGTGCTACCCCTGCTGGGTCACGGGTTCTGGGTCATAGGACCAGGCGGGATCCAGCCTGTGAGGCACTCTCCTAGCAGAGAGTCGTAACACCCTTGGTTTGGTCCCGTCCTATTAACTAAGTATTAACTACGATAACCAGCGGACGATGAGTCTACTCACCAGCGAGAATACGGCGTTTAAGACGAAGCTTCGACACGTCGATATTTATCGGCACTGGCATAGATAGAAAGTTAGGGAAGGAAGAATCAAGGTGAAATAGGTACCGACAGCTAGTATAGCTATAAACGGACTCACGAAGCTGCTCACTAGGCAGAAGTATAAAGCCTTTATTAAGATGTCGAGGATGACAGAAATAAGCTATCTGATAGCAGAAGCTCTGTGATCCACATAAAGGAGGATCAGCATGCCGACCTAGGTGGAGGAAATAGCTAGACCATACTAGCCTAGCTGAGGGGGTATGTCGGAGCAAGAGATCGGCATACCGGAAGTTTAGTTTATCCTATATTTCCAGCATTAGTCAGAATAGTCATATTTCCTGCTGGAGTAGGGGATACAGAAATACAGAGCTTTCAACCTCCTTGATTGGACCCCTATTATACTGAATACCACATCAGTTGACAAAGTTTGGAAGCCTTAAGATTGAGACTTGACACTTTGTGTAGGAGGCGCCAATTCCAGGGGGAAATAGGAACAGCTGCCTCGGCAGATTTCACCAGTCATTCCGGGTGCGATCCCGGTTCCGGGATGTCATCCGTAGACGCCTTTAATACCGGTCCTGGATCAAGTTATCTCTTTGGACGATCACGGGCCTAGATTTTAGCTCCGACGACTCGACGATGGCGCACTGGACCAGCCCCCGGGTGGAAGGAGCTGACAAAGCACACACGTGACTCGGATATAGAGATCATCTTCTCGGATAAACCGGAGATGACCTGCACTGACCGGGGGTTGTGAGGCGTATTGATGTCTCAGCCGTCAGATAAAGCCCAACCAGGTTGGCGCATCCCTCGAGCATGCCAGGAATGTCGCAAGCGTAAAATCAAATGCAATGGCCTGGCTCCGTGAGATTTGCTAGTCTATGTTGGAATAATGCATTGAGCTAATCTAATATCAGGTGCAAAACTTGCCAATTGCGCAATACCTCTTGCATATACAGAGACTACATTCGCCAACGGCGGAAGAAGTCCGGGAACGAGGATGCTGGCCAGAGGAATCCAACCCTGGGCTCTGCCAGTGGAAGCATGGCAAATGCACAGCCCACAGCTTCCGTTATGAATGATTTCCCCAACAGTGTATCGGCAACACATATGGCATCGCCGTCATGTAGGATGCAACTATACTATGGACCGACCTCGCATTTCTCTCTGATGCAACATATCTACCGAGATCTTGTCTCCAATCCTACTGCGCGACCTGAACCATCTGGCGGAGTGGAAGAAGCTGGAGCTGGCTTAGACTTGTTCAGTTTCCGTCGTATCTTCTTTGGTACCCCGGACTTTTATGAGGCTAGCAAGTCCCTCGACTCAGGGGATATGTCTATGATGTTCCTGCCATATGATCTTGCTAAGCGTTTTCTTTCGCGACATCTCTCCAGCCTTTATCATATGCTGCCACATCGCCCGAAACTATACTATGAAGAATGTTTGGATCGGCTATACCACTCGTGTCCCACACAACATCCAGATACTCTTACTCAGGCGATTCTTCTTTTGGCCATGGCAAGTGCCGCACTTGGTACAGAACAGTTTGCTTGGGGCCATGTGTTGTTTGAGCGTGTCAAGGCTTCCTTGGCCGCATTTGATGACGTGGTGAATCTTCAGACCATTCAAATCTCGTTGCTTATGATAAGTCACTCTCCACCCATGCTCTGTGCGCCAACTAACCTGTCTAGGTCTATACGCTAATTACCAAAACGAACAAGGCCGGCCGAACTCAGCATTCTTGCATCTAGGTTCTGCTTCGCGCAAAGCCTTTTCGGCGGGTCTGCATAAGGACGTACCCCATGATGTTGATCAAACACCTGAAAATATTGAAGAGCGACGAGTAACGTTCTGGTCTCTTTACGCCTACGAAACGTATGCATGCCATTTTCGTTCCAATCCCCGATTTTAGATTTACTGACTGACCTGATGAATAGCTGGTTCTGTTTCCATGCTGGCCGTCCTAGCTCCCTCTCTTTGAAAGATATTGCAATCGAGTATCCCCAGGATCCATTCATTCGACTGTTAGCACAGCTTTGCAAAACGATCAGTCGGTCCACTGATGAGATCTATGCCCAGCGGCATGAATCTCTCTTGCACATGTGGCGAGTCGCTCGGTCCATTGCGGAGGATCTCCGTGGCCACGAAGCGCACCTACAGCAAGCTTTGGGCTTTAAGCTTGATGACTGTATTCAGCCGGGATCCCTTGGCGTTCGGCAAGCAATCTTTATCACTCGTAAGTCAACACTTCGCATATTCCCTGGCTCCATTCTGATTAGAGATAGTTTACAATCATACCCTCCTTCTTACCTTTCGTCCATTCCTGATATTCCGCGGCCATCTACAGCGTGAGAAAAACTTAACACTTAACCAGCCCAGCACCCATGTATCGAATCGTCCCAGTGAAACGCCTTCCTGGCTCAATGAAGCCTGTAATCATGCAATAGCAACAGCCCAGAAGACGATTCGCCACCTATCTGAGTCTTCTAGGGTCAACGATCTCGTTCGGGTAACTATATCGCATTTCTTCCTTTACAAATGCCCTTTTCTTACCATATCACAGGAATTGCGATACCACGGGTATTTTTTGACCAGCTCTTCATTCACTTTAATCTACGAATTCCTCCACAACCCGGATGTTGCGCCTGCCTATCTGCCATGGGTGCATGCTTCATTGCAAACCATGACAACTATGCGCCCCGGTGATCCTATTACAAGCTCAATCTTAGCTGTGCAGACTGTTCTCCGGAAGATGAATCCATCATACGAATGGATACCTTATTTGGGACTACGCGGAGAAGATGTTGGATATCCGGGCGCGGCAGCTATACAACAAGGCCCCAATCTCGATCGCAGGGACAGATCACTGCTCAACGACCCTGCACCTCCTCAAAGCCAGCCTCTGGGGATGCGACCCGACCTACCAACACCCTTTTGGAATATTCCCTATCCAGAGAAACCAGATATCCTGGAAACTGGAGGCTCCGTGGGCTCTGGGGAAGACTTACTTGATTTCACCCAGTCTGATATGGGCTGGGATTTCGACTTTTCGACCATGGACCTGGAGGCCTTCTTTTCGATCTATCAGTCAAATGATGCCCCGGTTCTTTGATGAAAGCTTTGGGTCACATATCTTTATAACCGCAAAATAGGGGGCTTTTTGCCGTTTCCGTCTGCCAGGACACCAGCTCGGCTGCCTATGTATTTGATCGTGGTGCTTTTCTTGTCAACGCATCTTAATATAAACTGTAATCGCATTCTTGAACTTCGGTTTCATCTTCCCTTGCCTACTTATAGTCCCGAATTACTTGGCTTACTAGAAGATCATTCTCAATAGTATTATATCAACACTCGATTAATAAGACTGCAGTAGGTGACTCCTGAATCCAACCCCATTCGAGAGACCCCCGCCGAAAAAAGGGAAATTTGCCTTTTGTCATCTATCCACTTAATCCGTGGATGATCTATATCCGAGAGGTGGACCTGATTGAAGCTCTGGAAGCTCCAGAAATAGAAGACCAACGAATCAAAACCCGTTAAAGCCATGCGGGTCCCCTGTTGTATCCGACTGTGTATATCCGATATGCAGTGATTTTAACCAGGCAGGCCTCCTACTCACCAGTCTCGCCAGCTCGATGATGGAGGATCTAGGAATTGTGACCCACTCTCGGAAATATGGAATTAATATGTAGTCCTGGAGAATCGATTCGCAATATAAGAGTTCGTCTGCGCTTCGCATATATCATATTCGCCTTCAATTTCACTATAGCTGGGAACATCCCTAGTCGTCCTACATTTTGACGCTAGATATACATCCCACTGCCATGGAGACTCCCTCCTCCGGCACAATCGCCTCTGTGGATCTGGAACATGGCGACAGCCGGATTCGCAAACGACTTACAGTCACCTTTCGTGATTTGAATGTGCGAGTTACGGCCCCAGATGCGGCTTTGGGAAATACTTTATGGTCTGAGATAGATCCGCGGCAAATCAAATCACTACTAAATCGTGGTGACCGTCCCAAAAGGGTCAGTTTTTCCAAGTTATCAACACTTCGGTATGATATACTGATTTGGCTTCCAGACCATCCTCAAAGATGTTGCAGGGCAGGTTAAACCTGGCGAAATGGTATGTCCCCATCAGGTAAAACTACAAATGATAACGACTAATCGACATAGCTCCTCGTCCTCGGACGTCCAGGCTCCGGATGCACATCACTTCTCCGAGTGCTCTCCAATGATCGTGATAGTTTCGATGAAATTAGCGGCGAAACGAACTTTGGCAGCATGGATCATAAAGCAGCTCGAAAGTTCCGCCAGCAGATTATGTTCAATAACGAAGGCATGTCATTGTGTCTAGGAATATTGACTTCAATGCTAACACAGTATTTCATTAGATGACCTCCACTTCCCAACTTTGACCGTTAACCGCACGATGAAATTCGCCCTTCGGAACAAGGTTCCTAACGAGCGCCCAGAGAACCTGAGAAACCGCAAGGACTTCGTACAGAGCCAGCGTGATGAGATCCTGGACTCACTGGGAATTGGACATACAAAGAAGACCCTGGTTGGGAATGAGTATATCCGAGGAGTTTCAGGAGGCGAGCGCAAACGCGTTTCCCTCGCTGAGGTTCTGGCAGGACAAAGTCCAGTCCAAATGTGGGACAATCCGACTCGAGGACTTGACTCGAAATCCGCTGGGGAGTTTGCACGAATGCTCAGACGCGAGGCTGATCGAAACGACAAGACCATTATTACCACTACATACCAAGCTGGTAACGGCATTTACGACCAGTTCGACAAGGTCCTTGTCCTGGCCGAGGGCCGTGTCACTTACTACGGCCCACGTCGACTTGCCAGGAAATACTTCGAAGACCTTGGTTTCATTTGCCCCAAGGGTGCCAATATTGCGGACTTCCTGACTTCAGTCACTGTCGTTACCGAACGCACAATCAGACCTGGATGGGAAGAGAAGGTGCCAAATACACCCGAGGAATTCGAATCCTGCTACCACAGTAGCAAAATTTACCAAGAACAAATGGACTCCATCGTTGCCCCTGAGAAGTTGAACTATGAGACTGAAGACCTCGAATTGGCTGTTTCCAGTGAGAAGCGGAAGCAGCATATTCCTCGGAATAAAAGTGTTTATACCGCGAATCTCTGGGATCAGGTTGCCGCTTGTGCCTTGCGCCAATTCCAAGTCATCTGGGGCGACAAGCTCTCACTTTTTGTCAAGGCTGCGTCTGCTATCATCCAGGCTCTGGTCTGCGGAAGCTTGTTCTATGACCTACCAGAGGTAATCAATACTGCTTTCTCCCCAAAATGCAGCAAGATTAAGCTAACAGATGTATTTGCAAGGATTCGAGCTCAATTTTCTTAAGGCCTGGTGTTTGCTTTTTCCCTGTGCTATACTTTCTTCTCGAGAGCATGTCTGAAACAACGGCATCTTTCATGGGCCGGCCAATTCTTTCTCGCCAGAAGCGGTTCGGATTTTACCGTCCTACGGCCTTTGCCATCGCCAACGCCATCACCGATATCCCCGTTGTGATATTCCAGTCGACCTGCTTCTCGCTCATTCTTTATTTCATGTCGGCCTTGCAAATGGATGCTGGGAAATTCTTCACCTATTGGATTATTGTGATCGCTCAGACATTATGTTTCATTCAAATGTTCCGAGCGGTTGGCGCTGTCTGCAAGCAGTTTGGAAATGCCTCCAAAGTCTCCGGACTATTGTCTACTGTTTTCTTCGTCTACGGGGGTGAGTGTTTTGAATATGAAATCCGAGAAGAAGAATGAAAACTGACGGACTACAGGCTATCTCATTCCATTTGAAAAGATGCATGTCTGGTTTCGTTGGATCTTCTACCTGAACCCGGGAGCCTATGCATTTGAAGCGCTCATGGCGAACGAATTCGTTGGACGAGAGTTTACTTGCATTGCACCCGATTATCTTCCATATGGCGCTGGATACTCTGATTCAGCCTCTCCTTACCGTGGATGTTCAGTGCTTGGAAGCGATGAGCGAGGTATTATTGATGGCGCAAGGTACGTTGCAGAGCAATACAGTTACTCCGTCCACCATATCTGGAGAAGTTTTGGTATCATCATGGGATTTTGGATCTTCTTCATCTTCCTAACTTCGTTCGGGCTGGAATTCCGGAACGGCCAGAGTGGGTCATCGGTTCTCCTCTACAAGCGTGGAAGTCGAAAGACCCGTGGAAACGGAGATGTTGAGAAGCCACAGCCCGCAAAGGAGACAGATGTGGGTGCACTTTTGGGCTCGGTGAAGCAATCGACCTTCACGTGGAAAGACCTTGACTACCACGTACCCTTCCACGGCGAGAAGAAGCAGCTTCTTAACAAGGTGTTTGGATTTGTTCAACCCGGAAATTTAGTCGCCCTTATGGGAGCTTCCGGAGCTGGAAAAACAACTTTGTTGGATGTACTTGCTCAGCGCAAGGATAGTGGAGAGATCCACGGATCTGTTTTGATTGATGGCCACCCAGTTGGGATCAGCTTTCAGCGAACTACAGGGTACTGCGAACAGATGGATGTGCATCTCGAGACAGCGACTGTAAAGGAAGCATTGGAATTTTCGGCTGTTCTTCGCCAACCATCAACAGTTCCCCACGAAGAAAAGATTTCCTACGTCGAACATATTATCGATCTTTTGGAGCTGCGCGATATCAGTGAAGCTCTTATCGGAGGTACAATTTATCCATGTTTTGATGCAGTTAGATGACCGTGCTAATGACTTACAGTGCCTGGAGCTGGACTCAGCATCGAACAACGCAAACGTGTGACACTTGGAGTTGAGCTTGTCGCCAAACCGACGCTGCTGTTCTTGGATGAACCCACTTCAGGTCTGGATGGGCAGAGTGCGTTCAACATTGTACGATTTCTTCGGAAGTTGGTCGATGGTGGCCAAGCTGTGTTGGTGAGTTATCGAAAGTCCGTGATAGCACGCTTGTTGCACTGTACTAATGTCCCAGTGTACAATCCATCAACCATCTGCAGTGCTCTTCGACGCCTTCGACGGTCTTCTCCTACTAGCCAGGGGCGGCAGAATGACCTACTTTGGTGAAAGTAAGATTCTCTCCTGAAGCAATTGACCACACTTGGGCAGCACATGACTAACAATTTTATTACAGCTGGCAAGGATTCAACTAAAATCCTAGACTACTTTGCTCGGAATGGAGCACCATGCCCTGCAGATGCCAATCCAGCAGAGCATATTATCGACGTTGTTCAAGGGGGAGGTACTACGGATAAAACAGATTGGGTTGAAGTCTGGAATCAGTCAGAAGAGCGCAAACAAGTACTGGCTCAGCTTGATGGACTCAACGCAACTAACAAAGCTGATCCCAACTATGTTGAGGATACTGCTGACTATGCTACCTCGCACTGGTTCCAATTCAAGACGGTTTCCAAACGCCTCAGCGTTCATATTTGGCGCTCACCGGTAGGTCACTACAATTATCCCAATCAAGCGGCGAAGTCTGACATTCAAATAGGATTACATGTGGAACAAGATTATCCTTCATGTTTTCGCTGCTCTTTTCAGTGGATTCACCTTCTGGAAGATTGGAAACGGCACTTTCTCTCTTCAACTGAGACTTTTTGCCATTTTCAACTTCATCTTCGTTGCCCCGGGCTGTATCAATCAGATGCAGCCTTTCTTCTTGCATAGCCGAGACATTTTTGAGACTCGAGAGAAAAAGGTGTGTTCCCGCATCAAATAGCCCGTCCCGTCGAAACATCGCTGAAACTAATCTCCATATAGTCCAAAACTTACCACTGGAGTGCGTTTATTGGCGCGCAAACCATCACAGAGATTCCATACCTCATCATTTGCGCTACTCTTTACTTTTTATGCTGGTACTTCACAGCAGGTCTTCCTTCAGAAGCCAGTGTTTCCGGACACGTCTACCTTCAGATGATTTGTAAGTTCCACCGAAACTGAACGCAAATCAATTCAACTCTCTAACATCAGTTTAGTCTATGAGCTCCTATATACGTCCATTGGTCAGGCCATCGCAGCATATGCACCAAACGAGTATTTCGCGGCCGTGATGAACCCCGTCCTGATCGGTGCCGGCCTGATCAGTTTCTGTGGCGTGGTCGTCCCTTACTCTCTCATGCAGCCATTCTGGCGCTACTGGATTTACTACCTGGACCCTTTCAACTATTTGGTTGGTGGACTGTTTGGTGAGATTATCTGGGATGTCAAGGTCCAATGTGAACCCTCCGAATTTGTGCAGTTCAGCCCACCGTCTGGTCAGACTTGCGGCCAATACATGGCCGATTTCCTCGCGACGCAGACTGGGTATCTGCTTGATGCAAACACCACTGAAACATGTTCATTCTGCAAATATTCTGAGGGTTCTGACTACGCGAAAACATTCAACCTTCAAGAGAAATACTATTCCTGGAGAGATGTGAGATCTTCCTGTCTTCATTTGCCCGACTTTCCATGCTAACTATTTCTTCTTAGACGGGTATCACTGCCCTGTTCTGTATCTCATCTTACGCCTTGGTGTTTTGGATGATGAAGCTCAGGAGCAAGAAGACTAAGAGTGCGCGCTCCGAATGAGTGGTTACCAGTCAGTCTTGACGCCGCAACATCAATCATACAATTGATTTTCACTCTACGGTGCGATTGATTGGGTTAATATTCCTTGTCACTTCCCATTCTTGGGATAGTGGATGGAATTAAACCGCTATGTTCGCACGATACCACATTAGATGAGTCTTGCATTCTGGGCTTTTTCTTATATCTGTTCCCCTTCGTGCTTGCTTTGCTCTGTCTTTTTTTTTCCGAGTTTGCTAATTCTGCCCCTGGCTGGAATCTTCTACTTATATATTTTTAACTATAGATCATAGACTATATAATACCAACTCAGTTACAAATTTGCAGAACATATCAGATTGTACTGCGCGATCCCAAACTGACAATCTAAGAATTCACAAAACGGCGCTCTTTGCAATAGAACTTAGTTAACTGGGGAATCCATCAGGTCTCTTGGTCACTCAAGCGGTCATTTAACCCTTATCGCCTACCAGGTTGGGCTGATATGGCGAAGCTGCACTAGTCTGAAGATATATACTCGGAAGATGTTTGTGATTGCCGACGAGGTCGCCCCCAAGTACTGCAGATTGAGAGGAATTAATATTTTGAGAAATTCGTATCCTGAATAGTAGGTTAGGGACCATTTCTGCTCGAATAGGCAAAAATTCCTTGTGACATCGAATGAAGCCGTCATTTTTGTGGAGACTGGGGTCTAGAGGCGAGCGGCGCTTCACCAGGGGGGATCGACGCGGGCAGAAAAACGGCATTAGAAACTACAAAAGGCCCGAACAGCCTTGATTCCTCCAACACTGCACGCCTTGACCATGCGGTTCCACATCCTCACTCTATTTCCCCTAGCTGCTAGTGCAGTAAATATCATATCATCTAATGATGATGGCTGGGCGGAAGTGAACATCCGCGCTCTATTTGACTCTCTTGGAGCAGCCGGACACTCGGTTGTAGTGTCTGCGCCTGCTGAAAACCAGAGCGGTACCGGTGCGTTATTGCGTCTTCAAGATGTCAGCTTTTCATTAATCCTCGCGGAACTCCATAGGGTCAAAACAAAGAACCCCGACCGTATTGACCGAGCCCTGTGAGTTCGATAGCTGCCCATCTGGCAGCCCGGCAGTGGGATTCAACGCCTCGGAGGTCAGTATGATATCCACTGTGTCAAGAACTGCAGACTGACCTTAGAACAGCCTCGGCTTGGTTATGTCAACAGCTACCCGGTGACATCCATGAAATATGGCATAGACGTGCGCTCCCCGCAGTTCTTCAACAGTACCCCGGATTTGGCTGTCGCAGGTCCCAATGTCGGCAATAATATCGGATTCACCGTCTACATCTCCGGCACAGCCGGTGCTGCTAACTACGCTGCTCACGCTGGAATCCCCGCTATCGCATTCTCCGGTGCGACCGGGTCCCAGACTTCGTGGAATGTCTCACGGCCTCACTACAGCGATGTCTACGCCGATTTGGCAACTAACTTAACAAACCATGTGGTTGCCGCTGGCAAGCCATATCTACCGACTGATGTTTGGCTGAATGTCAATTTCGGGGCTGTGTCGGACTCTAGATGTACAAATCCGGCAGATTTCTCTTTTGTGCTATCCCGCATCCACATCGCATTCCCATTCATCACCCCCGATGATGTGACAACGTGCGGCAGGTCGAGATTACCAACTGAATTCGAAATATCGCTCAAGTCGGGGTGCTATGCAAGTGTATCGGTCGCAATGGCGGGGACGAAAAATGACGCCAACGCGACGATACAGGCGGATGTTTTGAGCGAACTGGGCAATTTGCTGACATGCCCCTGATTGGTCCATAACCCCTGCGAGGGCCAAGAACTTGCAGATCGAGGTCCTGACAGTTCCCCATGTGTTATGTTTATTTTGTTGTTATGTAGCGTTGCACGTCGGAATCACAGAAAAGTGTACAAAGCGCAAACTACATAAATAGCCAGCTACTACAGGTATGCACAGGCATTCGAGTAGCTTCAACCAACCACTAGCACCAAATGAGAAAGTGCATCAACTTGGGCGCAGCCAAGATGGTTTTCGGCACAACAAAAAGCGGAGAAAACAAGAATAGCGAATCAATGGTCCTGTCGATCCCACGCGAACAAGCCAATCTCCTCGTTTACACGACTGTCAGGTGGGATGATTATCATCCACTATACTTCATGGGGATTTAGAACCGTTTCTTCGGGCTAAACTCCTCGAAGGAAACGGACATCGGACCAAGATGGCAGGAGACTTGTCGATCAAAGGGGATGAGCATTAAATAAACACGAACGAGCTGTTTGTATGCGATGACCCAGGCTCATTCCCGCTCTCCATTTCCTCATGATTTCCCAACTCATCGCTGGGCTAGCTGCCCTCACTGTACTGCCCGTCATAGCAACCCCGCATGGGCTGGCCCGTCGAGCAGCGATTGATCACGATAAGGTGGTCGGGTTTCCCGAAACGGTTCCATCGGGTACAGTTGGCGATGTTTACTTGGCCTATCAGCCACGTCTACACGTCGTCAACGGATGCGTTCCTTTCCCGGCCGTAGACGCAGACGGCAACACTGGGTAAGCAAGATAAATATCCCATCGTATACTCAGCTTCAATCTCTAACCTCACTGATTATAGCGCCGGTCTCAAGCCAACTGGCAAGCAAAGTGGTGATTGCAGTGAAAGCACCGGGCAAATATACGGTGAGCTCCCGCAGGAGAATCGATACGGTCGCAGTATATCAAACTAAGATTATTTGTGCGATATCCAGTGAGAGGCGCTCCTTCAGGTGACTACTATGCCCTGATGTATTCATGGTATTGGCCAAAGGATGAGAGTTCGGATGGACTTGGCCATCGTCACGATTGGGAGGGAGTTATTATCTGGCTCGCAGACTCCACAAGTACCGACGCATCGAACATCGTCGCCGTTTGTCCGTCCGCGCATGGCAATTGGAAATGTAGTACAGATGACTATACGCTCGATGGAACGGCGCCTTTGATCAAGTACCAGTCTAGCTGGCCTTTCAATCATGCTCTTGGTCTCACCAAAACCGTCGGTGGCACTCAGCCGTTGATTGCGTGGGAGTCGATGTCATGTAAGTTTGATGATACATCTCCCCAAACTGTGGAATTTAGGAATCTGATCTTTGAATCCAGCTGTCGTGCAAAATGCCCTGGAAACGACCGATTTCGGATCAGGCCATGTTCCCTTCAAGGAGGATAGCTTTGCTTCCAACCTAGGAGAGGCCACTTTCTGAGTTTAGCATCAACAAATTCACCTGCCGCAGACGTAAAATCGGAGCCAAGCACGAATCAACACCAACGGCTTCTAGTATCTTTCTTAATCCTCGGAACAAATATTCCAGAGCAGTGGAAACCGCTGATTGCGCGAGATAGCTACATAATTTTTGGCACATGTACTCCTGTCAAAAACATGTGCTATCTTTGTCATAATCATGATCTGTAGTGTGTCCTTAATTTATTGGAATATGATTGGCTCTTTTGAAGTCGTTTGCTGAGACACTGCCTAGCGTCAATACCGTCACGAAGAATGTTGGGAGTTAGGAGGAAACCCCAAAGGGCTTGGCATTCTAACCATTTACGGCCTAGTCTAGCGGGTTTGACTGTTGTTCCATGGGCCACTTTCAAGCTTCATTTCAAGCTCCTCGCATCCATGGATCCTTTCGAGATCTTAATTCACTTTATTCAGTCCTTCAATGACGCTATGAAAAACATGTCAGATACGTTATTCTCACATCGTTGATAACACAACTTCACTCGCTGCTCATCAAATATATCGCCAGTCCATCTTGCAGTCACATTATCCACATCAGTGCCCCAGAATAATTCAAGCACTAGTTGGGACACACTGGGAGTAATAATCGTTCAATGAGGTGCAGGTTGCTGATGGTACGCAGACCGTGGCTCCCGACCAACCGGTACCTCCACACTGTCCATAGAGAGTCTGAGTTGCACCTCCAGCAGCAGTTGTCGAGGGGGCGGAAGTGGCGCTAGTGATGGGGGCCGTCACCAGAGTCGTCGTGGAGCTTTTGGAAGTGGATGTGGTGCTGCCGGATGCCGCGCTTCCTGTCACTGGTGTACCCGAAGCTGTGATTGCCGACGTTGTCTGAGTGATGGAAACAGCACCGCTGTAAAGAGTTGGTCCGGGGACAATCTGAGTAAGAAAGAACTTAGCAAGCGAATTGAAAGAGCAATCGTCACAAGGGAAATGAACGATCCAGGATGTTGTCCAAGTACTTACGTAGGTTGACAACGAGCTGTAAATGTTGACAAGAATACCGGGATCAGTTGGGCTGTACAGATCAGTGCCCAAGACGCCAGCGGGCTTGTCTGTTCCTGACCCGGTGATTTGGAGGTTGAAGCACTGGGGATAGTTCTGGGCTCCACCCTCGGTGCCTGCGCCATGGAGAGCGATCCTTTAGGGTAAGGTTAGCAGATCCTCTCTGAAGAAGGTGCGTATATTTACGTACAGCTCATGTCGCAGAACGTAGTGTCCAGGTGCGATATCGGAAGGAATCTCAACCATCCACGCGGAATTCTGTGCAATCAGCTGATCGTCACCCCAGATTCCTGGGACAGTCGAGCCGTCGACTAGGCCGACGCCGTCAATCTTGAAGAATTCGAGCTTAGTCTTGTCCACAGTTTCACACCCATCAGTGCCACAGCTGGCAAGGTAATCAATGACAGGTCCATGGTGCGACTCGGGCCAACCTTCGGTCCATTGAAGGAAGACGCGATCGCCGGCGGCTACTACTACATGACCTTTGGCATTGGTGGCATCCAAGTGACAGATGATATCATCAGTCCCGTATGCGTCTGATTTGACGAAGTTAGCAAGAGTATTGGCTTGGCAAGAGAAGAGAATGGATGAATCACATACCCGGGGAGATAAACCCATTGGCAGTATTTGGGGTGCCCCAAGCCACGACGACCGGAGGTGTCTCCATATAGGGATAGCTGCCAATGTCCCACCCGGCAAAGGACACTCCATTGATGACAATGTTTGTGATGTGGCCATGACCTGCAACGAGAGAGGCAAAAAGTGCGGAACCGAGTAACTTAGACATGGCGATCGGATTCCGAGTAGCGGATGGGATATCTTGAAGGTCGTCAAAGTATAGGATAGACTGATAAATGACCAGAATGATTCAATCTCTGCTGTGCTTGATGTTTTTGAAAAGAAAGGAAATCAGCTCATATTTATAACGTCCATGCGAAGGATACCCCGGATTCTTCTGCCGAGTTTGCTGCTCAATATCCTTAATTTGCCGTGAATGAAACGCCAACTACAAGGGATAGAACCAATTGGATATATCCTACGCGAATTGAGGAAAATTAGAGTGATCATTCTGCACGGAAATAACAAGCCACGGGGTAGTTTTGTCAGAAGCCCCAACACCACCTGCGGAGGTTGCCCCGACTCCGTGTCGAGATAGCTCAGGAACCAAATCCACCAAGCAAATTGATACGGAGAAAATGCATAAGGGGTCACAGGGATGGAATCATGTTCCAAGCCTGACGCACTGGCCAATCCCAAGTCACAAGAGGCGCCCTTGGCATCCTTTTGGTTAGTAGGTATTTGCACTAATATAGTGTACTTGGGCTTCTCATTTCCTTGTGCATGATTCCTGGTAACATTTCATGTTGCATTTGAAGTTAGTTAGAGTGGGTGAATGTGATAAAGTAAAAATGCGAATTATTCCGTATGCGAAGCTGAAACGATATGGATCCTTCAATTATGATGGAACAAAGATGAAGCGCCAAGGCGGATGTGAGGGCCGACAACGTGTTGGATTCATAAACGGCGGACGTGACTAAGGGCGATTCTCAAGACCGCGATCTAAATAGCCCTGTGGCCTCAAAACGGATTCCGACATGATAAGAGGCTGATTTTAGGATAATTACCGGCACCATGTGATCAGTCTCTCACGTTGGAAGAAGACAACTTGTCGAGACGTCTGCGAGAAACCCACATCCAGCCAGATCCAGGGCCTATGCAGTGTGATTCTTACCATATTTCACGTTTCATAACAGATCATCCGAGTAGGTAGAAATGTAGGGCTTTGTTCAAGCTCGTCCGTGCATCTTCGACAAGTAATAGAGTTATGTAGTACCTACTTTGTTGGTTTACGTATCATTAGTGGCATATTATGAGTATTCATAAGTGACTAGTCTGAATGATGCGATACTCCTAGGCAAGTAGAGATGCTACCTTTTGCTTCAAAGGTTTAAGGTTGTTCAGGCTTAGAGTATGCCTCTTAAGGAATGTCTCCTCTCACCTTCTTCTTAAGGGAGATCCCCTCTATTCATCAGTAGATAAATAGGCTAGACTAGAGAGCTTTGTATGGCCATAGAAGATTGTTTCGTCATTCCTATTACCTTCTTTGAGACAGCATGCCGCCTGACCTGTATCGATGATTGGGAGCTCAGTTGGATATGGTGCCCTTTCGAGAGTCGACCTAAGGTGACCAGAGTAGAGACAGCGGGAAACTGCTCTCACGGTAAGAAGTGTGAGGGCCCGCAGTTAAGCGAGGGGGAGAAATTCTACCTGATATGACAAACTATGGGAAGTTCAATTTTGGAGCAAATGAACTAGTAACAAACTAGACATGTGAGATATGGATCATTCAAGGTTTGAAGAAATCTGCGAACGAGAAGTACCGGTTAGACCTCAACTGCCCTGTGAAAATCCAGGAATAGCAGCAGAGAATCACTTAAGTGACACTCGGTCAAAGTAACATTCGTCGGCCGCAGAAGGCGACAAGACCGCAGTGATATGCGCCGAGGAAGCAGTTGGAATCGAGGAATAAGCCCTGTTTATTGCTAGCTGACGAATTCATGCTTCCTCCTCCTGTTGACTCTCTTCCAATTTTCTAACATCTTCTCGCTCGGCCTAGAATGTCGCATTGAGTGTTCGGACCTCCTATCATCCACATAATCGTCGCCTTCGGTACCATCTTCTGAATATCCGGCAAAGGCTTTGGCTCCTACCCAATCTCTGGCTCTTCAACCTCCACGCGCCATACGTTACCGACCGAATTGACCGCATCGTTTGATTTCCAGAATGCGATCTGCATCAAAACTTTGACCTTCTGCAGTGGTTAGCAAGTTGTACACCTTTCCCGCGGGGGATCTGGTTTTCACGGCGTTATGAGATACATTTACAGGATGGATTACGCGTTGGCTCAAAGATTATTACTGTGGCACGACAACGTTTGGATATCCCCATCAGCCTGCCATGAAACTAGGATCCCCGTGGTGGAGGATACAAGGGGAGACCAGGCACTTTATTCGAGCTTTCCACCATTTCGAACCGAAGTTTCCAATCGGAGCCTTTCGAGACCTTCGTTGTGGAATGTGCATGTCAACCCATCACATCAATACGCACCTCCGGGCAAGTTGTGGACAAACACAATTACGATTCGTTAGAATTGACATTGGACTGTGTTATGTGTAACAGCCACATTGACATCACTGTGATCACTGTGACCTTCATGTAGAGGTCACACCGTATGATTTCGTTGCCTATGCCATCCCAATCAACAATAAAAGGTGTGTTAGAATCCAATGATTCCATCAAAAAAAAGCTGTGGTCTTTGGCATCCACCAAAATTATGAATAATTTGACATCCAACATGATTCAGACCGCGGCCGGTCTCTCGTCCCGCACTAGCACAATGGCAGAAGCCAGTGCGGAGGGCCAGACTGATGCACCGAAATTTCCATTCGCTCGACCACATGCTGGAGAGCCTCCTGCCGAATTTGGTAGGCTTCGGTCTTCTTGTCCCGTGTCCCGTGTCAAACTCTGGGATGGAAGTCTACCGTGGCTGGTTGTCAAGCACGAAGATGTTTGCCAGGGTTTAACTGATCCCCGACTATCCAAGGTAGGCTGGTTTTCATTGAGTATGCAGAAGGCAAAAGTAGGAATCCTATTGAGAAAGGCGACGAGAATACGCGAATTTAATAGCCGGACGGCTAAAACGGATGCCCAAGTTGACATCTCTTCCCTCTACAGGAACGTAGCCGTCCAGGATTCCCAGAAATGAGTGCTGGAGGCAAGGCGGCTGCCAAAAACAGACCAACCTTCGTGGATATGGATCCACCATATCATATGCGCCAAAGGTATTGGCAGCGTTTGCTTCTGGTGTGGGATCAAGTCCCTTCATATACTGATGGTTTCTCAACAGGAGCATGGTCTCGGCCTTTTTTACACCTGAGTGTGTCGATTCGATAAGGCCATTCATTCAGTCAACTGTGGAGAATGTCCTGAATGACATGATTGTGAAAGGATGTGAAAAGCCTGTTGACTTGGTTGAGAGTCTTTCTCTGCCTATTCCATCTATTGTAAGAGACCCAAGTGCCTTTCCCTTTCTTTTTTAGGGAGTTTAAAAAGAAATGGGGCATCTGCTTAACGACAAGCTCTAAAGGTGATCTACAACATTCTTGGAATCCCCACCGAGGACATGGATTACCTGGCAGAGAAGAATGCCGTTCGAAGCAACGGCAGTTCAACTGCTGCTGCTGCTCAAAACGCCAATGAGTGGGTCATCAACTGCAGAATTCTTTTGAACATGGAGCTGAGGGAATAATAACACCAGGGAACTGATTGGCTACTTGGAAAAAATCGTTGAAAAGCGCATCGCCGATCCAAAAAAGGATCTAATCAGCACCTTGATTACTGAACAGGTAGGGCTAGTTCCAACTAAAAAATCCAACAGATTGAAGTTAATGGGAATTAGCTGAACCACGGTCATCTTGAAAAGCTTGATGTCGTCCAGCTGGCATTCCTTTTGCTAGTGGCTGGCAATGCCACCATGGTGAACATGATTAACTTGGTGAGTGATCGTTAGATCGTTGTCCCATTTTTGTTCAGTTAAAATTGACCCACTTTGCACTCAGGGAGTTGTGACGCTTCTTGAGCATCCCGCTCAATTGGAGGATTTAAAAAACAATCCCTCTTTGGCGAAAGGATTCGTCGAGGAACTTTGCCGATTTCACACAGCTTCCGCACTAGCCACTCGTCGTGTGGCAATGGTTGATATTACTCTGAGGGATAAGGTAAGTATACACATCTGAGAAGGAACAGAAGGTCAGCTCACGCATATTTAGCACATCAAAGCTGGGGAAGGTCTAATCGCTTCGAACCAATCGGCAAACAGGGATGAAGATATGTTTCCCAACCCCGACGAGTTCAATCTCCGCAGAGTTATTGATCCCGAAATGAATCTTGCCTACGGTTACGGCGAACATCGCTGTGTCGCTGAAAGATTAGCTCGTGCCGAGCTTGAGGCTGTATTCTGTGAGCTCCATGTGGCCCATCATCGTAGGTTCTCTCATGCTGACTTCTAGAGCTTGCTTATTTCAGAAGCTGCCGAACCTGAAGCTAGGAATACCAGACGACCAGGTCCAATACTCGGAGCCACACAGGGATGTTGGGATCGTTAAACTACCTGTTGTATGGTAATGCGGCTGATGTATGTCTATAAATAACTAAATTGTGATGGACTCAAGGCCGTTTTCATGCATCCAAGTTGTTGACGTCTTTGCCATAATGGAGAATCAGACCTTGGTAGCTATAACAAGATGTGGAGGTATGAAGCCCTGCCGAATGGAGTCAAAACCTATCGCCTGGAAATGGTCACATTTGACTCATAAGTCACCCAAAGCCAGCACCTGAGATAATAGCGAACCTCATGCAAGTTCGACAAGGGAGTCGTTGGGTTACTTGTCTGTACGCCTTTGAGATGCTCATTAGATCAATATAAGCTTACGCCCTTGCACCAGCCATGCAATTCTAAGTTACATGATGAGGCTTGGTTATTGGCACAGGCGCAGGGAGATATACATAAGAAGATATCCCTAAATCCTGTCCTTCTCGGCCCATTCGCTGCGATATTGCGTAGACACACAAGACATATCTCTCACCGAATCTCAATGGTATTCATAGTCATCATTTTAGCCAAAAGAGCCCAACGGCTGCGAGAGTCCCACAAAAGGCGCATCAGCATAATTATATGGCCTATTTAGTAAACATAGCGGAAGTTCAGATTCTCCCGATCCGTCTTATCCTCGAACGCATGGATGAGGGTCGGGTCAGCGGCGGTAAGCCCTGCATCAGCCAAAATTTTGTCCTTCTTGGCATTCTCGCGCTTCAGGTGGAAGCGTAGGTAGATAACGGCGAGAACCATGCAGACATAACACGCCAAATGTACACTCCAGGCAATGTGATACCGTGGGGCATCCTTGTCAAGGAATACCTGGGGACCTGTTCACTTTTTAGCCACATGTTGAGGGCATGTACAAAAGCTAAGGAATACTCACCAATAGCATTGCCAGTAGCCCATGACACGAATGTCGCTGCCACCACCGTCGACTTCTTAGTCTGACCAGCAATATTCCGCGACACCATGGACAGGGTGAGAGTCTGGGCCGACCAAAAGGACATCGTGATATAGTAACTGATAAGAAGGCCTACTTTCGTGCCCAAAGTAGTGTTTTCGACAGTCATAAGAACAATAGCCCCGACGAATGACCTGGAAAATGTCAGTTAGGCCGCCGCTCAAAGTAATCAACAGGGTATACGTACGGAATAATGAAGCCTAGCATCACGATCGTGTTCTGTTTGAACCTGTTTACGAGCCACGCAGACGACAACAGGACCACAATAATGTAAACTCCGAGTACCATAGCAAGCAATTGAGTCTGCAAAACAGTGAACTTAAAACTCGAGATGACGATGCCAAAGAATGCGCCCAGGCCGCTGGTAGGAAGCGTGGTGAACATTTGAACAGCACAATAGCACCACATTTGTGGGTCGCAGATCGCCTCCCACATCTGGTATGAGCGGAACTTTCTGTTCTGGATACCGGTCTGATTGGAGCGGAGACGTTCGATCATAAGGCGCTTGTCTTCCTCGCTGAAACACTTCGCACGCATGGGGGAGTCGGGCATCCACCAAATGACGAACACTCCCCAGAAAACGGAGATAATTCCATAGCTCATGAAAAGAGCTTGCCAGGACTTGAGAACTTTGTCTGGTCCAATAAGGGTGAAACAGTATGCCAAGAGACCACCGATAATCTGCTGCGCGCCGTTCATCATATACCTAGTTCGATATTAGGTCAATCTGTCTGCTCGGAGAGAAAACTCCTTTCATACCAGTATGTCACTGTGGCTGCCTGTTCCTCTCGCTTATACCACATCGAGGAAAGAGTCACAAAAATAGGTTGACAGCAAGCCTCGAAGATACCCAGCAGGGTACGGACAATTACCAACCCAGTGAAGTTCTTGCAGGCTGCATGTAGTGCCAAGATCATACCCCAGAGACAGATGTTAATGCCCAAGTATTTGCCGATGGGAACTCTCTGGATGATCCAATTGGTAGGGTATTCGACGGTGAGGACGGCGATATAGATACAGGTAGTCAACCAGGAATACTATCGACAACACAACTCTTAGCATGTTGAGCGACAAGGAAAGGCAAACAAGATCCCACACACCTTCTGCCCATCTTCCAGATGCGCGTCTGTTTTGATTCCCATGATGGCAGCGAAAGACATGGTTCCTTTATCCAAAGCCTGCAGGAAATATGTGCAGATCATGATAAACAGGACACGACGATCGATCAGGCGTTTCAGACGTTTATCAGTGGCTTCATCGATCTCCACCCGAGAATGAGCGGCATAGGCTTGAATCTCCTTGTCGACTCGGCTGGTATCCATATTGTCTTTTGCAAGATCATCGGATGCCGAGAGAGTCTGTTCGACATGCGAGATGTCTTGTTTGCTCTCATATTCACCCATGTCAATTTTGGGCTCCTTTTTCTGCGCTGCCTCAAATTCATCCTGAACATGAGGTGCTTCAATGCCCTGTTCGGGGGTTACTTCAATTCCTTGTGGGGGTGCAGCCTCAACCCCCTGCTGTGGTTCGTCCTTGCTCTCGGCCATTGCGCCAAAATGGGAAGAAGTGGATGCAAAGATCCAATATTTGGAGGAGCACAACAGATGAATAAGAAAGAGAGTTACTCGGTCTTATAGGAGCCCGTGCTTTTCTTGTCGGGGGTGTACGAATGGTGCCAACTGCAAGCGCCTTAACCAACGGAAGACGATCAGCCGACTGAAAACATCATGTGGCTTTCCAATAACCCAGAACATGATTTAACCGGGAGTCAAAATCGAGTCGAACCGAGTCGAACAGTTGCCTCCGTCCTAATCATCCCCCGGACTCCTTGGCAAAGGAGGAGACAGCACGCTAGCGCTTCCCCAGGCTGGGGAGTCCGGGGATGCACTATCCCGAGGGCTGACATTTACCAGCTTGATGATGCAAGTGAGATTAGTTTGATCCCCTTGCAGAGTATGTTTAGAGGTTATAACTCGGCCATCGCTCACCCGAATCACGCTTTGTCCGCGCGGGGGATGCCTCGTGGCGTTCTAAAGCAGACCTCATTAGTGGAAGAACTAGAGCCAACCCTTAAGAGCTTTGGAAACAACGGGAGATAATATTGGTTTCTTTCCTGGAGAAAAGGTCGACGTTGACAATATCATTCGTCGAAAACCCGAGAGAAGAGTCAATTCTCTAATCATCACACAATGTCGTCCACCAAGCCCACGGGCCCCGAAATCCATACAGCCGTGAACCTGCTCATCGACAATTTGGTCAATATCAAAGATGAGACCGGAAGATTCCTGCTGCCACTTCCTGATGGCCGCATTATCGATACAAAGTCATGGCAGGGTTGGGAATGGACACATGGCATTGGGCTGTACGGCGTGTGGAAATACTACGAACTGACCGGAGACGAGCGACTGTTGCGCATCATCGAGGACTGGTTTGCTGCGCGTTTTGCCGAAGGTGGCACCACCAAGAATATCAACACCATGGCCGTCTTCCTGACTCTGGCATACGTTTACGAGAAGACCGGTAATGCCACATATCTGCCATGGCTGGATGCCTGGGCTGAGTGGGCGATGCACGACCTCCCCCGAACGCGCTACGGGGGTATGCAGCACGTCACCTATATCACGGAAAACCACCAGCAACTCTGGGATGACACTCTGATGATGACTGTCATGCCACTGGCTAAGATTGGAAAGCTCCTCAATCGACCCCATTATATCGAGGAAGCAAAAAAGCAATTCCTCACCCACATCAAGTACCTTTTCGATACAAGGACTGGTCTTTGGTTCCACGGATGGACTTTTGAGGATGGTGGACATAATTTTGCGGATGCGCGATGGGCTCGTGGAAACAGCTGGGTCACCATCGTTATCCCCGAAATCATCGAGTTGCTCGACCTTCAGCCCAATGATCCCATTCGTCTCCACCTGATTGATACTCTCGAGGCGCAATGTGAGGCCCTCGAACGTCTTCAATCGTCATCGGGCGCGTGGCACACACTTCTGGATCATCCTGATTCGTACTTGGAAGCCTCTGCGACTGCTGGATTTGCCTATGGGATCCTCAAAGCAGTTCGGAAACGCTATATCGGTGCCAAATACCGCCCTGTTGCTGAAAGGGCCATCACTGCGGTGATGGGATATGTGGATGAGAAGGGCGAATTGCAGAATACCAGCTTTGGCACGGGAATGGGTGACTGTCTGGAGTTCTATAAGAAGATTCCCCTGACCTCGATGCCTTATGGCCAAGCCATAGCTATTATGGCCTTGGGTGAAGCATTGCGGGATCTGCTATGAGATAGACGCATAAGTCTACTGAAGATAAGGATTTAGTGTTCGATGATCCGGATTATAGAGCTCTATATGAACAAACGTTTTGCATGGTTTCTGATCGTAAAATTTGAAATGCACAACTTAGAATGACATGCCCAGGTCGATCCAGCACTTTTTACTTCCTCTGCCTCTTTTTCATACGATCATTCGACTGGCCAGCGGCCCTGGACCTTTTCAACCAACCCAGCCCGTTCGACTACCTCTTGACTTCTTATTTGCGCTTCCTTCACAATTTCCTCCTCGTCCATTGTCATCAATACCCCGTTCTGTACAACGACCTTCCCGTTCACCACCACGAGATCGACATCCCGTCCTGTTGTGGTATAGACCACCGCGCTGACCGGGTTGAACCAAGGCTGAGTATGGATTCCGCGAACATCGATCGCCACGAAATCAGCCTTCTTCCCAACTTCTAGGCTGCCGATTTTGTCACTCAAGCCCAGCGCTTTGGCACCATTGATTGTAGCCATTTCCAGGACATCTTCCGCTGGAACCACCGTCGGATCCTGCGAGATTCCTTTGTGGATAATGGCCGCAAGCTTCATCTCCTGCAAAAGATCACAAGTGTTGTTACACGGTGCGCCATCGGTACCCAGGCCAATATTGACTCCAGCATTTTGGAGATCTGGCACCCTGCAGATTCCTGAAGCAAGCTGCACACCACCGAAGGTTAGAGATATTTGATAAACCAGTTTACACTGCTAACACAACATACCTTTGCATTCGATGTTGGACAGTGTGCAACATGTGTCCCGGATGCCGACAGAAGCCTTAAGATTAACTTGCGTCAGTTTTCATTGCATCCCTTGGATCATATCATCAATCTCACTTAATATCGGAGTCGTCCAGATGAACCATATGCACCAGGACCGTCGAATCAGTCAACAGGCCCACCGAGTCGCAGTATGACATTGGTGTATGCGAGACCGAGGCGAAAAAGTCACGATCTGCCTTGACCTCGGCGCAATGCATGGTAATGGGTATACCCTTTTCCTTGGAAATCGCGGTCATTTCCTTGTACAAGGCGTCCGACACTCTATTCAATGATCAGCAAGCGATCTCCAGAGGCACTGCTGTCTCATACCCTCCCGGAGTCCTGGCACCAAACCAAACTCTAATTCTGTCATCGGCTGCACCATTCCACTTCTCCCACATTTTCACGGTCCCAAGTAGCGACATCTCACGATTCTCAACGAGGCCAGGATGCATAGCCCAGGCATCATCCTTGGCGTACTTCGCAATATCCATGACAATTTTACCCAGACAGCCACGAATACCACTCTCTTCAACCGCGCGACACAGCCCATCAAAGCCATATCGGTCGGCGAACTGCTTTAAAATTAGTTTCTGTGGCGAAGCTTCGAAGTGATATTACCATACCATGCTTTCCAAAAAGCAGGTGGTCCCTGATTTCAACATCTCCCCGATACTCAATCGTGCTGCGGCGTATCCATCCTCCGCTGTAAAATTCCCTTGAAGAACCCAGATCCTCTCGCATAGCCACGAAACCAGCTCGAGATCATCAGCTGTACCGCGTAGCAGAGTCTGTGCGGTATGCATGTGTGTCGAGATCAATCCCGGAATGACAATTCGACCAGAGAGATCGCACTCTTCGTCTGCGACATATTTTTCTTTGAGAAGATTTGTCTTCCCAATATCCACAATGGTATTCCCAATGACTCGGATTGCTCCGTCGGTGATAATACGACGTGAGGCATCCACTGTCACGACAGTGGCATGAGTGTACAGCATGGTGGGAGTGTTCACAACGCAAGGCCGGTTGCCGCGGACGTGGTTCCCAGTCTAGTTTGCAGTGATCCCAGCTCTGTCTAGAGCAATCCAAGGGGCTATATGGAGGATCTTGAATCTGAGCCAGAGATATCCCCACTTGTGACGAAGAGCACAACGGAGATCGCCGATGTACGAGGTGTCCCGCATTGGGGGGTATCGCGATAAGATAAGAAGACATCGGTTAGGGTTTACATATTTCCCATGACATCTATATGGGAGACTACTAACATGGAATTCGGTTGATCGGGCATCATTCCGAGTGAATTCCTGCTTTGATACCGAGAGTGCCTATTCAAGAAGAACCAAGCTAAAACCAAGGACTAGAAGCTCTTCTTGAGCCACTGAGTCTGAGAGTTACAGTATCCAAGGAGACCAGCAAGACCCCACTCCACACCCAAGCCACTCTGCTTGTGGCCACCGAAGGGTGTAGTCGGCGACACATCGAAGTGACTGTTGACCCACACGCTCCCGGACTGAAGTTGATTTGCCATCCGAGTTGCGCGTTCGAAGTCCTTGCTCCAGACAGAAGAACCCAGTCCGGTTTCCAGAGCATTCGCACGCTCAAGAACGTCATCCTCGTCAGACCATTTCAGGACTGGCAGGATGGGAGCAAATGGCTCTTCTTGCACAACCCGGGATGTCTCTGGAGGGTTATCGATGATGGTCGGGTGGATATAGTACCCGACAGAGTCCTCGATCGAGCCCCCAAGCGCGGGTTTCAGGTTCTCGGTAGAAATGCTATTGAACAGATCTTTGGCCTTATTGAACTGCATCTGATTTTGGACCGGTCCCAAGAAGACATCTGGCTCGGTACCAGCGCCGACTTTTAGCGTCTTCACAAAGGTGACTAATTTGGCCAAGAACGCGTCATAGATTTTTTCGTGGACATAGAGTCGCTTGATCATCATGCAAATTTGTGAAGAGCAGAGATAGGATTTAAGGCCAATTTTGGGGATAATGGCATCGATATCAACATCCTCGCAGATAATCGCTGGGTCATTGCCGCCGAGCTCGAGTGTGACTCGCTTGAGAGTTTTGGCGCACGCAGCCATTACCCGTTTTCCTGTGGGAATAGAGCCAGTAAAGCTGATCTTATCAATACCAGGGTGCTCGGTGAACATCGGGCCGAGAGATTCATCGCCGCTCAAGCATTGGACCAAACCGGGAGGGAAGAAGCTGGCAGCGAGCTCGGCCAATTTCAAGTCGCAGTACGGCGTGAAAGGAGATGGCTTGACGATGACAGAATTTCCCGTGTAGACAGCAGCCGCTATCTTCCCAATGGCCAAGAGGACTGGATAATTCCAGGGTACGATCGCGCCCACCACGCCAAGGGGTGTGTAGCGTTGAATGATCTTCAGATCTTCGGTCTCCTGGAGGACATTGTCCGTGATCTCAATTGAAGCCAAGCCTCGAATCCACACACCGGCCATTTCGATCTCGGTTGATGCTTGAGTTAAGGGTTTGCCTTGCTCCATTGTAAGGATTTGGGCAAATCCGTCGATGTTAGCTTGAATGGCATCCGCATAGGCATGCAGCGCTTTGCGCCGCTCATCAAAGGACGTTTTTGCCCATCCCTTGAAAGCGTCTCGAGCCGCCTTGACAGCCTTATCGAGATCATCCTGGGTCGAAACAGGTACGGGCGGGTTGGGCTTAGTATTGGCCGGGTTAATACCGTGCCGTGTTTCAGACGTTGTCGTCAATTCATTATTGATTACATTGTGGAATGTCTGTTAAGCTGACAATTAGTCATGAATTTGGTTGTATTGACCTTTCCAAGAAACTCACAGAAAAGTCCAAGGGTTTGACGGCGGCAGGCATCTTGATAGCTTCAAGGTTCAATTCTAAGGGATTGATACTGAAGGAGGGAAAAATGGCGAGGGGTGTCTCTTAACTCCATGGACTGAAGCCCCGAATCCCGAGGTCGAGAAGAAGCTAGCGAGTGTACCTAATCACCTCGTACCTGGTATAGTACCCCGCAATGCGACCTCTTTGGGGGGATTTTGCCTTCAAATGGAAATCAATGCATGATCTGACAGTCATATCTCCCTCTTTTACTAGTGATTCAGCGAACTTTCTGAAACGTTGGGCCTTGGCACACTGCGGGGTATGCGACCCTCATGGCCTTATTCTCCTTGCAAGGCCCAACACATCAACCCGAGGAGTTATCGGCATCCCATGCAGCACTGAAGGTATCTCTAAGTTCCGCGGATTCAAAGCGCCCAGTCATATAGAGCTTTTGAACCACAGCGGGATCTCCGACTTTGTTCTTCCCATCATTAGACATTTTTCGGTCTCATCATGGTGGAGAATGGTCATGACTTTGGCTTGCAGGGAAAGATACTGCCTAGCAGGTACCGAGGCACTTCATCCCAAGGACGTGGTTGACATAGATCGGACTAAAGCCCTTTATGCATATTGGATGGTGCTAATCCCGCCGTAGCGACGTCGGATAATCCTGCAGCTAGCGTTGAAAGAACTTGCAGAGGAAAGTGTCCGAATCAATATCTCGTGGCTTGAGCACAGGCCAACGATATGCCGTGACATCATCCTCTCTGATATGGACTGGGGCAGTTGGGCAGCATCCATGTCCTTCAGTTGACATCCTGCCGTATTCCTCGCCGCATCGATATCCTGTTCAGGTTGTCATCATTCCGACGTAGGATCAATCTATATCCCTGTCCACAGTAGGGATCGGCAAGGAAAAGCTACCAATAACATATGTTGTTATTTCGGGAAAAACGCTTAATGTGTGGCTTGTGGACGCTCACTGGAACTCTTCAGCGACGATCGTTCTTCGGATGACGTGCCGCACGCGCGCCTCTTCGTCAACATTCCTAATCCGCTATCATCGAAGGCGACACGATGCTTGGAATACGTTTCCTTTGAATCTTGACTAGTATCAAGGTGAATACAAGCAGGGAACACAACTAACAGCTTATTTCTGCAGCCTACTTAAATACCCTCATCTCCACTCAAGAATCTAAATCAACTCAAATCGTTAAACACAAATCATATTATACCATCCATATTGGTCTCCACACAAGCTATCTCAATCTATCAAAATGTTCCATCGACGTCGTCCAGCTGTCACCACCACTAGTACCAGCAGACCTACGCTGATGACCAGACTCAAAGGTCGCAATGCGAAGTCGCGCACGGTGAAGACCACCACGACCACCCACCAAAATCCCACCGCCGGTCACACTCGTGCCGGCCCGGCCCATGTCGGTGCTACTCACGCCGGCCGCACCGGGAAGGGCGTTGGTACTCGAAGACGCTTTGGTACCCGGAATCGCCATGGAGCAACTGCTACTCATACCCACCATCGGCGCAAACCTACACTAGGCGACAAAGTCTCGGGCGCTATGTTGAGGCTGAAAGGAAGTCTGACGCATCGTCCTGCAGTCAAGGTATGAAGCAACACAACGCTACTTGAATTTGTATATGAGCTAACATCCTATGACAAGGCTGCTGGAACTCGCCGCATGCATGGCACTGATGGACGTGGAAGCCACGCCCGCCGGGTCTACTAATTGATACCTTGTATACTGCTACGAGTCATGAACCATGCGGTCTCTTTTCTGTTCTTTGCTGTCGTAATGTCTGAATTTTCCCCATGCGCAACTGTATTATAACATCCCGCGTTTTTCGATGGGCTTTTGGGTGGGCTCAGACTGAATTTGTGATCTTCAAGCCCAGAACCCGATTTTGCTTCGTTTTCTTGAATACCCTATGAATTTGATCTTTTTATTCTGTTATAAATGAGCCTGATTATGGATATTGAATCCCTCAATAGCAAGAACTGCTGTACGAAATCAAACATTCTATACTAGTTGAATATATATACAAACTACCTGCACTTCATAACATCTTATGAATAGAACTGTTCAGCATGGAGCACACGATATGACCATTCTCTAGTGAAAGTAAAGTCAATTTCTTGATCTCACGATGTTTTGTGAGTTTACAATACTTCCACTAATGTTAGATGGCAATTCTAGCCCATCAGACTTGGTGGACTGCCTCCCCTTAACTAATAATGCCAATCCGCCGCACTCAGGGGCCATCCAACGGGCGCTTGAACGATACGACCCCCTTGATCTGCCCCAGAAGACTGCCTGGCCACGCCCAAGCCTCCAAGCCTTGTTTGATCACTAGACATTTAGCGGGCGCTCCACTTCATCCCTTCTGCTGTCTGGACATTCAAGACTAAACATGCAGATGTCGATGAAATGAACGTTGTCAAGGGACATGGCCGTTTTGACACCCCTCAGTTGATTTGACTAGTTGCCCCGAATTGGAGAGACAGCACTGACTGTTGGAGAATCGGATACGTCCCGAGTTCCCCGCATTGTGCGTCTTGTAGTAGGCCTTTTGACCCCAATTTGGCCACATGGACCTGTTGAACCAGCTATTAAGCGGTTCTAATACTATGATTGTATTGGCATGCGTCAAATAGTTCGTGAACAAGGATATCCAATTCTAGAAACATAAGAAACATCAGAAACAGAAGAAACAAGAGAGACTTGGAGTAAAAACAGAAACCCATGTCCCGGGCCGGGCGATAAGCCCCACCAAGATGTTACATAAGTGCGGGATTCTCTCCAGGTCTTGAGGACTCCCACTTGGACTACACTCACTCTTCGAATCACATACAATGCCGTCCCTACAAGAGAGCAAGCTGGCCTTCATCGGCGGTGGCAACATGGCCTCCGCCATCATCGGTGGCCTGGTCGCCAAAGGCATCAACAAGCAGAATATCTACGTCTCCGAGCCATGGGACGTCAACCGCGAAAAGATCGCCGCCCTCGGAGTACGCACGACTACTTCTAATATCGAGGCTGGAGCCGATGCCGATTTGGTCATCATCGCCGTCAAGCCCCAAGTTACCAAGGGCGTGTGCGAGGAGCTCGGTAATGCTTGGTCGCCGCGCGCAGAGCTGCCCGTTGTCCTCAGCATTGCTGCCGGTATCACTCTTGATAGCATGCAAGGATGGTTGAAGACCACTGATAACCGTATCCCTCACACTGTTCGCGTCATGCCCAACACCCCCGCCCTGGTGGGTGAGGGTGCCTCAGGCGTCTTTGCCAGCGCGGATGTCACACCAGCCGAGAAGGAGCTTGTGAATGCGGTTCTCGGAAGCGTGAGCCAGGCGACCGAGTGGGTGGAACGGGAAGCACTTCTCGATGTCGTCACGGGGTTGTCTGGTGAGTTCTCCTTTTCTTGAAAAGCCACATATGGCGTGTCATCACCGCGCATCAATTTAACTTGATTAGGATCGGGACCCGCCTACTTCTTCGCCATGGTCGAACATTTGGTCGCAAGTGCTACTGCTCTTGGTCTTCCTGAAGACCAGGCCACTCGTTTGGCTAGCCAGACATGTCTTGGTGCAGGTAAAATGCTGGCTGAGAGCTCTGATAGCCCTGGTCAGCTGCGTAAAAACGTGACCAGCCCCAATGGTACTACCTATGCTGCTCTCCAGACATTCGAGGCCCTCAACTTTAAGGAGATTGTGGACAAGGCTGTCCAGGCTGCCACCACTCGGTCCGCTGAGTTGGGCGCCAAGCTATAGAGATGGTATTAAAGAAAAATAAATAGATGGAATCTGTGAAGTGCAGCTCCCATGACTATGCGCGATGCAAAAAAGAGAAAAAAAGAAAAAACAATCAATTGAGTGCCTCCTATTGTAGGTGATAGATCTCGTAGACCTCCAACTGCTCGACTTGGAGCTGGAAGTGGCCCGTGCGCGGACGCTCTCCTAAGAGCTCGACGGTGAAGCTCCATCGCCTCTCCTTAGCGCTCATGCAAACTATGTATCAGCAATAATGGTGTCTTTTTGGCCCTGGAAGGTGAGCCTTGGGATGATATTGTCTTTCGTTGACGGTCGCTAACTATATCAAGGGCGATGACAACTCTGCAGCTTCATTTGAAAAGACCTTGTCCACGCTCTCGACAAAGATCGCGCAAGCGACCGCACAACTCGACCAGGACCGTCAGTCTTCCCGACGGTTTAAGGCTCTCTGGACTCTCTACTCAACATTTGCCTATCTATTCTACTCCATCATTCTCGCCTTAGTGCTAGGATGGGAGAGCTGGGGCGTCAAAGAATATGCCGCTATCGCGGGCGGGCCAATCCTGTACGTTGACGTATACCTCGCATACTCGACCACCGCTAACACCTATCTCTCTTTCTATCAGGATCTACACCGTGCGCAAGACTGGCGTCACGCTTTTCGAATACCGAATTTCCCGCATCCAGCAGCACCTCGACGACTACAACAAACAGCGCGAGGAGACGATCGAGAAATTGAAGATAGCTACCAAGTACAACTCCACCCAGCAACTGCTCGAGAAGTATGGCGGCGGATCTCCCAAGCCTTCGCCAGGCCCAAAGGCAGATGGCGACAAACGCCAGCCTCCTCAGGAACAACAACATGCGGCCCGTACCGGTCTCCCACCGCCACCCACTGCGAACATCCGCCCTCGTTCCTTCTCATCGCTGCCCCCAACCACCCAGCCCTTCCCTTATTCTCCTTCTCCTCCCCTCGAACTAGCCCAAGGCGGCCACCAACCCCAACAACAACAACAATATCCACCCTCTCCTTTCCCCCCCTCAACCACCCACCGACCAATCTGGCTTTGCGCCAAACGCATTCCCTCAAAATGGGGAATACATCGAACAACCACACTGGTATGACCGTATCTTGGATGTTCTATTGGGAGAAGATGAGACCCAGCCTCGCAACCGGATGGTTATGATCTGCGACGCGTGTCGCCTTGTAAACGGCCAGGCACCACCCGGGATCAAAACACCAGAAGAGCTTGGCCGCTGGCGATGTGGCAGCTGTAGAGCCTGGAACGGCGTGGAAAGTGAGGCAACAAGGATTCTCACCAGTCTACGACAGAATTCTGTGTCAGCCGAGAGAACCTGGGAGCCCGTGTCGCCGGCGGATGCTGATAACCAGTCCTCCGAGGGCACGGAAGAGGGTGTGATGGTAGCTTCCAGCTCGGAAGAGCAGACGGAGGCTTCTGGCTCTGAAGTAGAGAATTATATGGAGACAACGAGGGAAGAAGAGTCACCAACCGCACCTGTGCGGCGGTCTAAGCGTACTGGGAAGTGAGACAAGGGAACGGAATAGACTAGGGTTGAGTACGCTATTTACAAGTGGTCATTACCTGCTACATTGCTATCAATTCCACTCAGAACAATTCAATTACAGCGTTCATCAAATGGTATCTTAAAAAAAAATGGAATATTCACAAGCTATTCAAGCGACTCAGTGTAAATCTTCCGGGCTCCAAGTTTCAAGCTGTTTTAGGTTCCAAAGGGTGCAAGGTCAAGTACTCGATCGCAACATTGGCGACTTTGACTTCAGCCTCCTCGGCAGAAGCACAACCTTCCACCAGTGCGATCTCGTTTTGGTTGACAATCGCCGAGCATCGATAGGTAGCCACACCTTTAGCTTCAATCCTCTTCCGCTTGAAGACCAACGTGCCGACGCCCTTCACCATGTTCTGCGCGGTGTTGCGCGGATGGACAACATCAACTTTATCGGCAATAATGCGCTGGACGTACCACACAAGCCCGATACGTTCCACGAATGCATAGCAGACATCCAGGTTTCCACCACAATCGATGAAGATCGCACCAATGACACTCTCGATGATATCAGACAAGAATTTATCCGGGCGCAGACGGGCAAACAATTCCCACGGGTACTGAGTCCCGTTTCTCAGGGCGTTATGGATCTCTTCACGAAGAATCTGGTGTCGCTCGAGACATGCCTCGCGGGCGGCGTTGATGTTGGGTCCATGGGAGCGGAGGAAGCGCCATAAGTGGATCTGGTCGTAGTGTGGCACTAGGTAGACTTCGCCATTGTTGAATTGGGGGACGTGGTTGGGTTCATCTGGAGCGCAGAGCTCCATGCAAAAGAAGGCGAGTAGGTTGGCATTCACAACGGAGTGTTTCAACTGTGTCATGGGGCCCTGGTCCATTTCCACGGGGTGGGCTGCTATCACTGCCATGACGACCATGTCGAGGACAGCATCGCCAAGGAACTCGAGGCGTTGGTAGGATTGTGTGGTTGTATCGTACTCACAAGATGCATGAGTGAGCGCTTCAGTCAAAAGAGCAGGATCATTGAAAGTGTAGCCGATCAAACCGGCCAATCTTTCGTGATTGATTAGGTTACTCACGCCCTTGCCTGGTGGGAGAATGGCGGGCGAAATATCGTCCGTGAAAAGATCGATTTCAGGCAAAAAGCGATGGAGACAAGCTTGCGCTCTCCGGATTCCACCATCTATGTATGCTGCGCCAATGAGGGATTCGACAACATCTGCCAGGACCTTCAACGACAGTTTCCTTTTGGCTGTTGATGGTTCCATCTTGTTTCTGATCAACGGTGCGGACCATTTCCGGGGCGTGAATCGATTTGTGAGGATGAAGGAGTCAAGACCAGTATCTAGGGCTGCACGAGCCAGGCGAGTGTTCTGGACGAGCTTGTCACGGCTTTCCGACAGATACCCTTCGTGCCAATTCGAATTCCGGAAGAAGAGCTGGCAACTGACTGTAAATTTAAGAACGGAGTCACCAAAGAACTCGTATCTCTGATAGTTGGTACTGGCCTGTGCAATGGGCGCACTGATAGCCGTAATGACATGGCGGATGTGTTGGATCCCCACTCCTCTCAGAACAGTATCGTTCAATCGATGGGCCACCAATGATGCCTCCAGCCGATCGAGAATAGCAGAAATAAAGAGCCCAAAGACAGCCTGTTTCACCGGGAGTTTGTCGATATCGCACGATGCAGCAGGGACAATATAGGACTTCTTTGGTGCCTCTGCCTCTCCATCTTCGGCAAGTGCCATTGCACGGACTTGAAGTAAGTTTCGTCGACGCGGGAGTGATGAAGAGTCCACTTCAATAGGCGAGGATTTTGTGATTTGGACTGGCACAACCCACCTGTTGAATGTGCGAGGCTCGCTGAATTTGGACTGGTCGCGAACGATACCCACTGGAGGCGAAGTTGGATCTCTTGCATATACTTCCAAAGCGGGCTCCTTTCCATCGTATTGCGCAAGCCATAGGCCTAGTTTTTCATGTGGAATATCAGGCACAAAGAGGGCAATGTAATCGCGTTCCTCCCCACGCGGGCGCGAGCTGGGGGCCTGTAGATAGAGAGCTGTGATTCTTCTCATTTGCTCAAGTTGGTCAACTGTCGTCTGAAAAGACGCTGCTTGCGGATGAAAGGAGAGGGTTAAGGTGGTTTCGAGATCCCAGTAGAGAGGAATAGGGTCCGGTATCCGAGTTAACCGTGGCAAAATTAAGGACACAGCTAGATCATCATCTACAGAGCCATTTCTGCATATGTGCAGTCGTGTCTGACACAACTGACCGGAAGTCCAGCCCTGTGCAAGGTCTACATAGGGATCATACTGTTCTGCAGCCTCCACAATGGACGGAAGATTCTCCTGTTCTGAGAACCTCAGCTCTGGCTTCCGTGTCAATGGCAACATGTTGTCGTTGACCAACCCATACGCATACAAAGCCTTGTAGGCTTGGAATGCTGTCTCCTTTCTGGCTGCCCGCTCCGTACGCCACCAGGATTTCCCTGTTGTTTGCCTAACAGTCGGATGCACGGAATTTGGCAGGGTAACGGTACCCAAAAGTAGTCCAGCACTATTTTCCTGGAAGGAGAACGTCGGTCGCTTATCAGCATATTCATCTGTTGGTAAGACGTCGCAGAAGTGGAGCAAGTGTTGCACTGCATCGTCTGCTGTCAAGACCGCACTATCCAAGTCAGTTAGTAGAACTTCAACAATGGCTTAGAATGCGCTTATTCTGTCCTCAGACTGCCCTTACTTGGTTTTTTCTACCCAGAGTGTTTCAGTCACATTCTCCTCCTTGACTTCATGTTCCAACATTTTCAGGCGCTGTCGCTCATCATCTTGATACGCTTTGATCATTGCTTGCTCAAGTTCCTGCCATCTATGAAGGCTCAACGAATCGTCTTGAGTTGAGATGAGGACAGCGTATGTGGATTCTTGATGTCGAGCACGACCACGTCGCTGGACAAAGGACTTCAGGTTTGCTGGCTTATCATAACAAATCACCAAGCTGCATGCGCTTACGTCAATGCCTTCCTCGAGAACATCTGTGGCAATGATCAGGTTCTTTCGACCAGCTTTGAACTCATCGAGAGTATCCCGCTGCATATCCCGATGGAGTAGGTCACCCAGAGAGCCTTTGCGGTTTCTATCGCTCGACCAGCCAACATAAGCAGCGCACTGGAAGCGGTCTCTTGTTTTGGAATGATGAGCCAACAGGCGTGCTAAAACACCAACAGTAGCTCGCTGATTGGCAAATAATAGTCCAGAAAATCCAGGTCTATCCATTTTCTCAAGGAAGTTTAGAAGCACTTCAAGTTTGGGGGATATGTGAATATTCTCCTCGTCTGGATCAGGCACAGGCATTGCGAGCAGTAGTTCCAAGAGATATACCCTTTCCATCCGGTCCAAATGTGACATTTCAGTGGCATCTTGGATTGAGCGTTGAAGTTGGTCAATCGAAGCACTGATAAAGAAGTCTGCGGCCCAACCCCCCAGCTCTTCATAGATGTGACAGCTGCGCGCCTGAAACGTCCTTAGTTGCTCGCTGCAAAATGTTTTACCTGATGCAAGAGCTTGCTGGAGCTCAGCGGTCTTTTCCTTCGACCGCAATGATTCGATCCAGGGGTCATCTTCTATGTTGTAGGCACTGCAACAATTCATGAGTGGTGAAAGTAGTCGGCTGCCAATACCGTAATGCATTTCACCAAAAGGAGTGTAATTCAAACGCTCTAGATGGGGACGATGTGTATTTTCCAGGAGCTCAGTGCGAAAGACCCGTGGAGTCCTACATACTGCGTTCAAGTTGGATTCGATCGTTCTGTGAAAATATGGTCAGAATGCAGTCGTGAGGCAGACTGAGATCCAGACTGACTCGAGCTCATTATTGCTTGATCGGACCACTGGGCTAGCAGTGAGACCCAAAATCCGTGGTACGGCATCTGGACCAGCCCTCAACAAAGCAGGATGGTAATGGTTCTGCATTATCTTGTTTGCTGGATGACGTCGTGTACAATGATGAGCTGCATTACACATAATATCAGTCGAAGCTCTCAAATGTCTTGCAAAATGTCACATACCCTCATCAAAAATCAGTAGAGCAAGTCGGGACATTCGAACGAAACCATGAGTCAAAGCATCAGCAAGGACAGCATATGTGGAGACAACAACGCGCACATCCTTGAGGAACTTGTCCCAAATTCCCTGGTCGGTCCAACGATCAACATTATCAAGGCCCGTCAGGACTTTAGTCTTGACTGAAGGTATCTGGCTATTGATGACTGCATGTTGTTGAAGGGACAACGCCACAGTCGGGGCAAGAAACCAGATGAGCTGTGATACTTGTGAGCCTAGAACATCTTAGAAACATATAAGTCCAATCACTTTGTTTCGAGAATTGCCAGCCTCGAGTTCATCTAAAATCCGTAAAACAGCACTGAGATAGACAATCAGATAATGTTCCGATAAATGAAGTGTCACCACAAAACATACATATGGGTCTTTCCACTCCCTGTATCCATCTACAACAGATCATCAGCATGTGTCTCATGTATCAGACAAGAAAGCGTACCGCGACAATGATGTTCTCTTTGCGGCTAGCTTCCAACATCTCGAGCTGGTAGCTACGAGACCGGTAGTTAGCCCCATCGCAGCCCACCATAGCTGTTGAGTCCATGATGGGATAACGCTCCAAATGAGATAGGTCAATAGAAGTGATTTACAGCAGAAGAAAGCAAAGCAGATGAAAAGAAGACACATAAAAGATGAGAAGAGTGAAGAGATGGAATCTGTTTGTTGGTGGGGGTACGGCGTCCCACAACGGCCATCGCGCAGCTTTGGGCCAATCAGCGTCAAGGCCTGGGTATTTCCTGAATTGTTTGTATACTTCAGCTTGTCTCGTCCACTTGGAGATGACCGTACTGCCTCTAAAGATAATGATGTTTATCTCTTCGCTACTACTGGAGCTTGGATATCTTGCGGATTGGTTCAATCTGGAGTAATCTTGCTCTGTACTCAGGATATCAGGAAAGGGCAACGGAAATGGACATACATAGATGTATATTGATCACGAATTGGACATAAGAGGATTGTGAATGATCCAAAAATCAAACTGTAGGCTCATAGTTTCACCGCTCCGAAGTTATACCAGTCTTCATTGAGCTGCTGCTTTGTTCTTCACTCCGGAGGATTGGGGTCCTTGAAACGGGCTCTATCAAGCAAGGTTACATGAACTCCTGCTCCTATTTTCTGAATCTGGTCCCCTGTAGGCTCAATACCTCTGACCCGGTCCCAAAGTGAGAAGAACAGCAAGTGGAAAGTCAGAGTATTCAACTCAGCAGGTTCCTCGTCAGTACACCGAGGTCTCCGGGACAACCACTTGGTCACCCCAGACACTCCCTGCCTATTTTACACAACAGAGTCGAATCTTCGATCAGTACGAGCACTAATTTCACCATGAGGAGAACATTTATTGTCAATATTGGATCAGTGATCTGTTCCATGGGATGTTACGGTATTATATCGAAGACCTACACCGCAACCGCCCTACAAATCCAATGTAACCAGAAGCAGTCGGTCAGCAGCACTCATTCGAGAGAACCTGCGAGCAAGCACTCCTGTTGTGGCATCCAGCCTATTGTGTGGAATATATCAATAGCATGAGGCCTGTGGCTGAAAGGTACATGAGCTCCCGGGTCAAGGATTCCTCACAGTCCCATTGATCTACGGTAATCATGTACCTTCTTAATTTCTGAAAGTCTTGACCCTTTTTGGGGCCTATCTTTGAATTCGATGATTCTAGTTGTTCAGATTGTGACAGTGGCTGCGTAAATCTACATGTAAAGCATTTACCTTGTTATCTATGTTTTGTTTATTGTGTGTAAAACCCGTCATTGATATCGATTCCCTTCGCTAGCCCCAATTTCGTTTCCTATTCCAGGTCTTCTGGACGACTTGGTATCTCAATGTCTAGCGAAGGAATACAACGTCAATTTCTTCGAAGAAAATGGTTCCTTTATAGTTCGGGAAGTTGTGAGACTCACTTCCAAGGTTGAAACCATGGAAATATAGTCATCATATCAACGAACAAATATTCAGCTCGTATGTGTCGAAATAGGATGTGTATATATGACAGACTTAGCAGATATTCCTCTTCCACTCTTACCATATCTGGACGTAGGTCAGGAACCTCCTCCAGGCCGGCTGTCTATAGTACTTGTCGAGCACAGCTATCTCGTCAGGGCCCAAAGGACGTCGACCAGTCTTGCAGTCTGCCGTTCTTGGATCCCTCCAAGGAGTGCGATAGATAACCTTGTATCCAATGGTGAAGGTGACGATTAGCAACAACCCAAGGATGTACTGGAAAAAGTTTGATGCACTAAACCCATCGCCACCCTTGATGGAAATTAGCTCTAGAACAAATCTTGGAGTCATGATAACAGCTTTGGAGAACTCACGGGTGGTTCAATGCCCAAGAATACACAGCAAACCAAGAGGAACACCGAGATAAGCATGAGCCATGCTGGTGCAAGCGGCCAACATGAGGATCTCCAGGCGTAAACTTCCGTGAAAAGCGGGTCATTTTGTGCTTTCAGAGCACGATGGAAGCGCCAGTTGACAAAAGAGATGATAATCCAATTGGTAAAGAAAGACGCACTGGTGATTGAAATCAACCAGTTCAAAACAGTGAGACCCCCAGCTAGATTGTGTGAGTAGATACTTCTTTCATCATGAGTTTTATAGAGCCTCTTACCAGCAATTTGGATGTATGACAAGACAACTGCGATTAGGCAAGTGATCATCAGTGCCATCCGTGGACGCCCCTTGGAATCTACCTTAGCAAGGCCTTCCCAAATGAGCTTCTGGTGAGCCATGCTTCTCAGCACTCTGGAGGCTAGATATACACCTTCAGCAGCAATAGCAAGTACACCACAAATCATTCCGGCGTTCAGGACAGAGGGAATTCCCGGGATGCCAGAATCCTGAACGGCGATGACGAAAGGCGAAGCTGCGACGCCGCTACCTCCGAGAAGGCGATCATCGTCCGATGGAACCAGCACTGTAATAAATACAACGCTTATCACATAAATGAAGTTGACTCGGAAAGGTACAAGTTTTGTGGCATGAGCCATAGAGAATCGGGGACTTTTGGCTTCGCCTCCCATAATACCAATGAACACTTGGTCGCCGACTGCCCACACTGCAAGGATAGCACAGTTGGCGAACCCCTAAAATTGTGAGTAAGAGCTTTCAAATTGATAACGAGTAGACATACTGAAAATCCGTTGAGGAAGGGCGGAAGTTCTGTCCAGGTGTCTCCGCGGTGCATAGAGCCATTGGGTCCAGCTCCGAGAACGAGGGCTAGGGAAAGCACGATGATGATGAGGAATATCACGATTTTGATGATGGATGTTACATATTCAAACCAAGCAAAGACTTTGTTTGGTAAAGCGAAGATAGCCAAACAGGCGACCAAGAATATTGTTACTTAAAGATGTTAGCAACCATCGCTACTAACGATGGAAGGGTGTGTCTACTTACTCGTAGCAGCTAGCGGTATGGACCCTTCGGCCCAATATTGAACCAGGACGTTGAAAAACCCTGCCTCAGAACCAACAATAGCCGTCCAGCCTACTAGGGTTAGCAGTGGCGTCTGGCTTGCATAAGATTTGGTCACATACCAAGCCACTCGGCAAACCCTGCACCAAAAGCCAGAGCAGGGTCAACCCATCGATCTGCATAGTCGATATAGTTTCCAGAAACCGGGAATGCGATTGTCATTTCTGAAAGTGACTGCAGAACCGCCCAAACACAAGTGCACACCATTGTGTAAGCGATGAGCATGTTGCCCGGGCCACCAGTGGCTAGGGCCTTGCCGGTGGCAATAAAGACACCACTTCCGATGTTGGAGCCTAAAGAGATAATCTTCCTAGATGTGAGATGCTTTCATACAAATACACTGATCATCATCCACTAGAATCTCACATGGACTTGACGGGGTGAAAAGGATCGATGGAATTGACCATTCCTGGTCTCTTCTATCTGTCCCACACCCGCTTCTCCAGTCGATGATGACGGCTGGAGACTGTTAGCCTTCTCTTTGGGAATAACATCATTGTGGTTGGACGCCTTGGGCGACGCTTCGAACTCGGACATGGCTATCAAATACTTTGGTGCATTCCTCTATCTCAAGTACAGATTTCAGAGTGAAAATGAATAGATATCATGAAGTTTGATGGGGAGGATTGATTCTTTTATAGGGGTCCAAACACGGCAACACGAGAGAAATTACGTCCATATAGTCGACCTTGAGGACCTAGGTAGCCATGAATGATTGGTAGACCTTAGTATCTACACTCGAATGTGGTAGGTAAGTAACTCCAACACCTTAGCGAACTGACTTCATCGGCTGGCTATTGGACGGAAACCAGCCGTGCGGTCCACTTCCCCGCGTCCCCAGGCGTCTTCGGGCTTGCGCCGCTTCTTGCCCGCCGTAAGACGTTGAGTGCGGCACTTGATAAAGTTTCTCTGCGATCTGAGCAAGGTTTGCATGTCCGACCATTCTGTATTACGAGAGGCCCGAGGTTGGCAAAGAAAGTGCTTGCTGGCGATCCCTTCGCCAGCAGGGAGGTCTTGCGCGTGGGCAAGTATCTTGGTCCCGCATATGTGTCCTCTCGAACTTGGGCCGAGAAATTTCCAGGTGAGGCGCTCTAAGCTCATATTAGAGTGTATAGGGCAGTTTCGGTGGCTGTTATACGCCCAGGAAATCTTCAAAGGGCTTTGATGCGATGCCCGGTGGCACGACCCTTGGCACCTCCCTTTGAATTGATAGACCGTACAGACTTGCGTTGTCTAAAATTTGGAAACGAAATCCGGACGGAAATATCGAGCAAATATGAAGGATGAAATACATTCTCCGCCGACGTACTTTGGTTCACATATCGCGTCCGGAGTAGACAGAATCGATGGAAACCTCATCTTTAGCGCCAAGGTAGGAAGCAAGGCATTATCATAAGCGCAACACCCTTGAGCTGAAGTGACATCACTTGTCTAATCTGTTTAAACGAGAAAAGTAAGAAAGAGAGGAGAATAGGAAGGTGATCCGCGGCCGTGGTTCTGATTGGAAGTTGCGTGTAGTTGGGGGCGACCTTGGCACGCGTTTTATTCCCTTTTCGGAAATCATTTCGAGAGCATTTGCCTCGAATCATCAAAGACACAAAATCCTTTCTAAAATCGAAGGTAATCCACATTTCTGAGATCTCTCCTGGCATAGATTCAACATCATCTTCCAAAATGAAGCTCTACTTTGCGCTTTTCCAGTGCAGATCATCTCCGTGGGAATATATATACTGCGTTTGTACATTCAGACTTTCATGCCGAATCCATATCGTCCAAGAGCAAGATATTGCAAACCTTTCTCTTAGAGACTGTTCCTAGGCCGAGTCCCCGAAGAAACCTCCAGAGCCATGCCAGAAACTCTTGATCTGTCGTTATTGAAAGGAACTCCCGAGCAGAGGGATGCTATCTCGGCGGCCCTACTAGACATACCCAAAACCCGTGGAGTGGTTAAATTAAAGAACCATAGTCTCCCAGAAGGGCTCATCGCAGAGATGTTTGACTATGCAAGATAGTTCGATTGAATGCAACTTATAATCTTATTAACCATAGACCCCAGACTCGTCAATTCTTTTCTCTTTCATTGGCAGACAATACGACTGCCAAACATCCCATTGAGGCAAATCTCAACCGTGGCTATCGTTTTCTCGGAGAAGAATCTGTTTCTTCCATTAGCGGCTATGAGAAAGGCCTTTCTCAAGGGGAATCAGTTGGGGATAGTTAAGGCAATTCTTCCCCGTCTAACCCCTTTCCTATCTGGGCCCGAGCGGAACCGACGGTATGTAGGATTCCACCTTCATCATAACAACTACCCCTCTACTCCATAGATAGCACATGCTTCGAATGCAAAATCTCATAAAATTAACCCTCATCAATGGGAAAGAGTGTATTTGGCGATTGAGTGCAGATAGTGCTGCCAGACACTGCTACTCGATGTTCACAGGTCTGTTAGAAGATACATCTGCCTATTCAGTCTGGTCTGACGATAGTTTTAGATGCTGAACGTCGAGACGTAAGTTTTCAGCTTGCTTCCCCGATATCTGATCGGAATCCCAGCCAAGCACTAGTTGATCTGGAAAGATTCGACTCAAATACTGGGTACTCTGAACCATTCCCGGGTTTCCGGGAACCTTTTGGAGCTTTCAGATTGCAGCAGCATGGCCAATCTGAGGTTTGTACTGAATCTCTTAAACGCTTTTGTAAGACACCAACAATACACCTGATGTCCCCAACAGTCCTTCCGGTACAGATGATGAAAGGTGATTTGAACAAGCGACGTGCATATCTTGTTCAAAGGGTGAATTCATTTGGATTAGGCTAAGATGAGGATGACAAATTATAGAAAGACCCTGGTGATAAACACAGCATGTACAACACATAGAGGACTGGTCTAGAGAACAGAGATACCGATCTCGGCGGCGGAGGAGATCCACAACGGAGCTCAACATCCTTCCAAAGCTGGAAGGATGGCTCGCCCTGGGATGGGTGGTCGTGGAAGCATAGGTGGTCGGATGGTCATCGGCAGGGCAAAAATGACTTCACGAACCGAAGTATATTATATCGATGGGCATGCATGTACTCGTACTTCGTATGCCGTCAAAGGTCCTCCAGGGTGTGGCTTTGGTTCCAAGTCGCCTATTCAACTCGTAGGCTATGGCAGTATACGCTGACCGCCTTCTACCCCAACGTTGTTACGTAATCTGCGTTTAGTCAGATCCCGGGGCCAGATCGTTGAGACCGTAGCAGGAATGTACCAGGGAGACCTCACGAGTGATAGGTGACGTCTAGAAATGGCCATTTTGTCAGCGCATCATAACAGTCAGAGTGGACCTTCGGAATCCAGCGTCTTTCGGGGTGTTCCACCAATGAATCGATCCCTCCACGAAGCCCCCAGACAGCAGTCTTCCCCGCACGCCCGGATCATTCGCTGAATGGCCAATGATGAGGTGAGGAAAGTCGGCTGAAGGTCATTTGGTCGGTCTTCTCCAATCTATTCTCGATATTTTGATTATTTTAAACTAGCATGGCATGGAAATCCCGCCCCCAGGCATAGAAGCTGCTCAATACCCGAGTCGTCATTGGATCCACGAGGTTGCAACCATTTAAACTGCGGGGGTGTCCTCTTTCCGGCCTCCTCCCTTCTTTTCCTTCAACTTTCTCTCTTTTCCTTTCAGAGCGTATTCCATCATGAGTGAATGTCCCGTTGCACACAAGAAGAGCAATGTTGCTGGTGGTGGCACCCGGTATGGTTCCTCATTCTTGGGGAGGCTCTATCCCTGGCACATTTGATAGACCTTCCCCGCACCTCATTATGCTGCTAGGCGCTGACGTTGATAACCAGCAACACTGACTGGTGGCCCAACTCCTTGAAGCTGGGGATCCTCCGCCAGCACACTGATGCCACCAACCCCCAGAGCAAGGACTTTGATTATGCTGCCGCTTTCAAGACCCTTGACTACTGGGGTCTCAAGAAAGACCTCAATGCCCTTATGACTGATTCCCAAGAGTTCTGGCCGGCTGACTTTGGTCATTATGGTGGTCTTTTCGTCCGAATGGCATGGCATAGCGCCGGCACATACCGAGTCTTTGATGGACGCGGTGGTGGTGGCCAGGGCCAGCAGCGCTTTGCACCATTGAACTCTTGGCCCGATAATGTCTCCCTTGGTAAGGGCTGGCTAAACATTGAAAGAAGTTCTATATCATGCTAATGTTTGAATTCTGTGTTCAGATAAGGCACGCCGATTGCTTTGGCCCATCAAGCAGAAGGTGAGTGCTAGATACAAAGCCACACATTTCCAAAATTCTCAGGACTAATTGACATACTTAGTACGGCAACAAAATCTCTTGGGCTGATCTTTTCCTTCTGACTGGCAATGTTGCCCTGGAATCTATGGGCTTCAAGACGTTCGGATTTGCTGGAGGACGCCCCGATGTCTGGGAAGCCGATGAGTCAGTGTACTGGGGAAGCGAGAATGTTTGGTTCACCAATGCGGCTCGCTACGAGGCCGAGACTCCAGAGGAGAAGTCCAAGCAGAGCGATATCAAGACTCGTGATCTAGAGGATCCGCTGGCTGCTGTCGTCATGGGTTTGATTTATGTTAATCCTCAAGGTCCCGATGGAAACCCCGACCCTATCGCTGCTGCCCGAGATATCCGTATCACATTTGCTCGTATGGCTATGAATGATGAAGAGACCGTCGCCTTGATTGCTGGCGGTCACACTTTCGGTAAGACGCACGGTGCTGCTGCCGCCGATAATGTCGGAAAGGAGCCCGAAGCTTCTGGCATCGAGTCACAGGGTCTCGGATGGCACAACAAGCACGGCTCCGGAGTCGGCACCCATGCTATCACCAGTGGCTTGGAGGTGACATGGACCAGGACCCCCACCAAGTGGAGCAACCAGTTCTTCGAATATCTGTTCAGGTACGACTGGGAGCTGACCAAGAGTCCCGCTGGTGCCAACCAATGGGTCGCCAAGGATGCGGACGATATTATTCCCGATGCATTCGACTCCAGCAAGAAGCACAGACCTCAGATGCTGACCACCGATCTTTCTCTGCGTTATGATCCCGCCTACGAGAAGATCTCTCGTCGTTTCCTTGAGAACCCTAACGAGTTTGCTGATGTATTTGCTCGTGCCTGGTTCAAGCTGCTGCACCGTGACATGGGCCCTCGCGCTCGCTGGTTGGGCCCTGAGATCCCCAAGGAGCTTCTTCTCTGGGAAGACCCCATTCCTGCTCCCACTCATGCACTGATTGACAACGGGGATATCGTTGCCCTGAAGAATGAGATCCTCAATTCCGGTATTGAGCCTACCAAGTTGATTGCCACTGCCTGGGCATCGGCTTCTACCTTCCGTGGTGGTGATAAGCGCGGAGGCGCCAACGGCGCGCACATTCGTCTCGCTCCCCAGAAGGACTGGGATGTCAACAACCCCGCTCAATTGCAGGAAGTCCTCGGCGTTTTGGAGAACATCCAAAGCCGCTTCAACAGCGCTCAGAATGGCGAGAAGCGTGTCTCAGTAGCCGATCTCATCGTCCTTGCTGGAGGTGCCGCCATCGAGCGATCCTCGGGCATTCCTGTCCCCTTCACACCTGGCCGCAACGATGCCATTCAGGAACAAACCGACGTCGACTCTTTCAGCTGGCTCCGACCTTTCGCCGATGGCTTCCGCAACTACGGAAACTCGACTCGCCGTGTGCGCACTGAGCAACTCCTCGTTGACAAGGCTCAGCAGCTGACCCTTTCCGCGCCCGAGCTGACTGTCTTGATCGGTGGTCTGCGTTCTCTAAACGCCAACTGGGACGGATCCAACAACGGTGTCTTCACCTCCCGCCCCGGCCAGTTGAGCAACGACTTCTTTGTTAACTTGCTCGACATGAACACTGTCTGGAAGCCCACCGGTGCTGACAGTGAATACTTCGAGGGCTTCGACCGCAAGACTGGCGCTAAGAAGTGGTCTGCTACCCGTGTTGATCTGATCTTTGGTCACCACGCCGAGCTTCGTGCCATTTCTGAGGTCTATGGTAGCTCCGACGCCTCGGACAAGTTCAAGAAGGACTTCATTGCTGCCTGGGATAAGGTTATGAACCTGGATCGTTATGATGTCCCCTGCTTCCCCGTGACCGGCCGTCCTCGTCTGTGAATTATCTGTTGATTATAATTATGTCTGCTTTAGTATAATATTAGCCCAGTCACTTTTTCTATGATACGGATGATTGAATTGTTCAATATTTGCACTGTCTAGATCAACAAGATCTCATTTCCCTAAGAGGTCCCCTCTCTTTGCCCTCGGATCATAACCTGAGGGACCAGGGTAGTAGTTCTCTATATCTTCGTCCGACTGTGAATATGCTTTTATGTGGCAAGGCCAGTATGAGCCTGGTATGACAGCTCCTCCATTACAGATCCAAGGCGTAACAACCTGGTGGATCCCCGAGCTAAACACCGAGACCGTTATGTCCGCAGTTGTCCGCAATTGTCCGATAATACAGAGCAGCTGGTTACACCTATTTAAATCCAGACTGGCAATTGAACAAAAGCACCAAATCCAGTTTCTCCTCTTGAATATCCCATAACTGCAAGTGATTTAACACAATGGCTCTGAAAGTTCTCATTTGTGGCGGAGGTGTTGCAGGTCCGGCATTAGCCTACTGGCTCGCCCGAATCGGTCACCAAGTCGTCATCGTCGAACGTTTCCCTATACTACGAGCTTCAGGGGCCCAGATTGACCTTCGTGGGCAGGGCATTGAAGCCATCAAACGCATGGGACTCATCGACGTCGTTCGCCAAAATCTCGTCGACGAAGCGGGCGTGTCCATCATCGATTCCAAGGGGAATGTCAAAGCCACGATCCTTGCCAACAAGTCTGGCAAGGGTGCACAGTCTCTGACCTCTGAGTACGAAATTATGCGCGGAGACCTCGTGCACATATTACACGAAGCAACGAAGGAAAAAGTGAATTACGTATTTGGCAAAACGGTGAACAGCTTCAAAGAACACGACAAAGGGGTCATTGCATACTTCTCCGATGGCTCGTCCGATACATTCGATTTGCTCGTTGGAGCAGATGGACAAGGCTCGCACATTCGAAGGGACATTCTACCCCCCGATGCTCCTAATGAATACCACCAACTCGGATTCCACTTGGCCTATTGGTTCATCCCATGGGTTGAAAGCGACAACAACATGTGCAAAGCATATCTCAGCCCGGGCGGCCGCATGATCATGTCCAGAAGCCACAACAAGATAGCCACTCAGGTTTACTTCTTGCTCAGATCTGACTCCGAGGAGGCATGCAAGATTCCGAAAGCGCCGGTCGAGGAGCAAAAGCAATTCTGGGCTGACAAATTCCGCGACGCAGGATGGCAGACCGATCGTTTTATCAAAGGAATGGAAACTACAGAAAATTGGTTCTGTCAGAACGCTATTCAAATCAAGTCTGATACTTGGCACTCTGGCCGGGTTGTGCTTCTCGGCGATGCCGCACACTGTGCTTCTCCACTGAGCGGCATGGGGACCACAAGCAGCCTAATCGGCGCCTATATTCTGGCCGGTGAGCTTGCTTGCAGTGACGATCTCTCACAGGCTTTCCAAAAGTACACCCAAAAAATGCGGCCATTTGTCAACGAGGTTCAGCAGCTCAACATTTCGTGGATGCGGCGGGCTCTCCCCGAATCGCAGTGGGCAATTTCCATCATTCATCTCTTTGTCGGACTGGCCTGTTTCCTTCGAATACCAAAGCTTCTCTCGCGGTTTTCAAGTGACAGGGATGGTTCCTGGGAGCTCCCTGATTACCCTGAATTGGATGCTGATCGTGATCGGCCCGAGGTTGAATGAGCATTGGGGCAGGGATAGATGGGCTGATCGCATACAGAGTATGGAGTACGGAGTACTCCGTACAAATACGATGTTCACAATCCAATCTGTTTCCAAATATCATTGATTGGCCAGGCTATAGCGGGTATTGCGCTTGGCGGAGTCCAATCTAATAATATGTCGTATGTATTTCTTGCTGTGCCCTTCAGCCTTTGGACTTTTCCAATAGGCTCGATGTACGTGTCACCCATGCTTCACCGTTTCAACATAATGAGAGAGCACTCGCAGATACTCATCAGAGTGACTTATTAGATTGCGCTGTGGGCTTAACGCCGGGTGTGATACATCCACAGGTATAGGGGCCGCAGGCAACGGGAACTCGCAAATGACACTGGCCAGCGAGGCTATAGTACGGAGTAGATTTTGCCTGAATAGGTACGTTGCTACGAGGAGCTAATCTCATATTTATTGCTCTCTTCATGACTTCATTATGCATGATAAGCGACCATGTGCCACGCTTTGGCCACGCTTTGGCCATGTCTTGCCCCTTGCCCTAAATCCAACGCCAAGCGTCGAGTATCAACATCCATCAGATTTCTATTGTTTTCAACCTCCCAACTGCATTTTACACACGGCAATCGCTCATTCAGAAGCGAAAGTCTGGGCTGCAATCGGTGAGCACGCCACTAACAAGCAAATGTGATCAGTGCACAAAGTCTCGTTGCGTTTCTTTGTTTGAGATCCCGAGGATCCCTGTTTGGCGCGCCGATAGCCCCCTCGACTTTTTCTCTCTGCTCTGCCGCGTCCAATAAGCTCGTCAACCAACATAATTAAGGGGGAAAGTCGCTCTCACTCTGCTCTGATCGCTTCATTAACGATCCCCAGATATTAGTGTCACCAATGGCTCGGGACCTGCAATTATGACTTGTTCTCAGAACGCAACGGAATATCTGTTCCAGATCCCCGTGAGCTAGTCTCTCAATTCGCCGTTGTAGCTTCTCATTAATGAGAGCATGACTCGCGATTGGCAGACCTCGAGACCGGCGCCATCTTAACCTTATCCTGGTGTCATCCCCCGTGAGATGAGGGGCTCGTGGCAATTCCCTCCAATCTTCGAGGACGATCAAGGTCTATGTCAGCCCGGTGGGACCTGCGTCTAATCCGTGCTCCATATATCTCTTTCCTTTTCCCCCGGCTGATTTATCCGCATGGTCAACCCTCCCCATACGCCATGGATACCCTAATGAGTAGCCTCCCTCGGGAGGTGAGCGCCGTTCTAAACGACAACTTCGTTATCGTTCAGGCAATAGCCATGTTCTCCATCGGCGCATGGAACTCATTGGAAGTGGTGATCAATATATTTGAACGCTTCAAAACATATCGCGGGCTATACTTCTGGAGCATGCAAGTTGCCGCCTGGGGAATACTACTTCATTCCATAGTAGCCCAAGCCCGCTACACTCGGACAACCCCTAGCCTTCCGTTGGAGATCCCATTCATCATCGGCTGGATGTGCATGGTGACCGGCCAGGCAGTAGTGCTTTACTCCCGATTGCATCTCGTTGTCCACGACGTCCGGCACATCCGGTGGGTTCTCTGGATGATCATATCGAATTTCTTCATCCTCCACGTCCCAATGATAGTACTATTTTTCAACCTCAACCACACAGAATTCAAACAACCAGCCTTCATCTACGACCGCTTCCAAGTCGTCGGCTTCGCCATCCAAGACACAGTCATCTGTGCGATCTACGTGCACGAAGCCCTGCAAGCACTCAAACCCGTCTTCGAATCCAAAGGCATCCAAGGCCGAAGAATCATCTACCGTATCATCCTCGTCAACCTCTTCGGCATCCTCCTTGACGCCTGCATCATCATCGTCGAATTCAGACTGCATTACATCGCCATCAGCTTCAAGACCGTCGCTTACAGCGTCAAGCTGAAACTCGAGTTCCACGCTCTCACGCAGCTCCGCGAGCTGACACGCACATACCCGTGCACGCTATGCCAAGGCCATGAGGGTGTTCCTCGTGGTTCAACCGATATCAACCTCTTTGATATGCTGGATAGGCCCACGCCGCAGGATAGCGAGGCCCTGGGCGTGACTAGCTTTGGGGGTACCGTGAGCCCGGGCGCTGTGCGCTCGGAACGCAGCAGTACACATGGGTTTCACGATGCAATGCGCCAGACGAGCTCGACTGCGGGCTCTGTTGGAACTCAAGGGGATTATCGGTCTCGGATCCGATCGATCGATACACGGTCTACGGTTGAGATGACATTGTTTGAGTCGCCGAAGTAAGACCGGATGTTGGTCACTTCAGGGGGCAGAGTTCCTTTTTGCGTGCGTGATTGTATATACTACGAGATGGACTCCAACTGAGTATTGTCGGGTCATCACTGGGCGGCTACCTGTTTTCACTTTATACCCTCGTCGCTAAAGACGTCTTTGCTATTGCGGTTGCTTTTATTGTCACTGTTGCTTTATGGTTTGTAATACCTACTTTCTTTTGGGCTTTTATGTTTCTATTGAAAAGTTTGTATGTATTCATATAATACATTGATTTGAATTGCTACATCCGATCCGTCCCTAACCATGGCATTGGAATATAAAAGCAAAGAATCCCCCCCCCCCCCCACAAAACCAACCCCCTCCTTTACAAGCCGACAAGATGATAACAGGAATGTGTGAGATGAATGCGAAATGTCAAATAGGGTATCTGTTTATTGTCCCAAATAAAATAAAAGAAAACGCCGAAATGAATGAAACGAAACAGGCCCAATGCGTATACCAAGGCCTGCCTATGCAAACCCAAAAAGAAAAAGAAAATTTGTGGATGTAGCTCTGCCACAAAGAGGGCCGTGAAATGCATCAACATCACGCAAAGCATGTGAACGTCAAATGGTAGAGGAAATGCGCAAGGAGGAGCCAGAAAAGACAGAAAAGGAAGAAAAGGAAGAAAAGAAAAAAAAAAGACAAGAAAGACAAGAAAGACAAGAAAGAACAGAAAGGCAATCGCTCGCCAACATTTCTGCAAATGCTAAAAGAGCAGGCAGGATAAGCGAGCGAGGAACGGGGAGCAGAGCTGAGCAAAAGTGACCTGAGAGCGGAGGTTCTGCCCAAACAGACCTGGATGGCTGATTTGTCTTTGTTCTTAAGCGATTAGGATGCCTAATGAGAGGAGAACCATCCGCCGTTCTCCCATTCGCCACGCTTGTACGCGGTTTCAGACCGAGTAACCGGGTTCGTGAGTCCAGAAAGCAGGACATTTAATCTCGGGAACGAGATAGGTTTCATTACCCAGCCATCAAACCCAGTTTCGATGTAGCTGTCTCGTTCTTTTTCAATCAAAGATGCAGAGACAGCAAATATAGGGACACGATCGTTGTGTCTCGCCTTGTCGGAGAGCGCAGTTTTCGGCGTCTTGCATTCAAAATCACGAATCATCCTAGTAGCAGCCATGCCATCAACAATCGGCATCTGTAGATCCATCAACACCATATCAAAGCTGTTGGTCGCTGAAACGAAAGCGGTAGCACATTCTTCACCATTGCTGGTGAGCTTCACGATATGCCCGAGCTTGGTCAACCGCTTGTGTATGATTTTGCTGTTGATCGGATCATCTTCTGCCACTAAGACACGAAGGAGCTCATAATCCGTCGTTGGAGGAACAGTGGTAGGGGATGTGGATGGCGGAGCCTCTGTAGATGGAGCTTGTGACGGTTCTGTGACTGGATCAAGGACCCGCGGGAAGTATGATTGATCTTGAATAGTCTGGAGACTTGGCGATTTAATGCTCGCGGATCTCTGAGACATTTTTAGAGCACCCATTGGTACACCAGAATCTGTTATGTTCTCTAATCCAGGAGGGGGCGGCGTCATAAGCGGTTGTAGACCCATCGGCAATGGATGCGTAACCATGGAAAGGCTTGAGCGGGGATCGTGCACAGTTGATGATCGCTTGAGGCCGGATGACGATGATGGCGAAAAGTGACGGCTGCTAGCACTGACAGGGCTCAAAGAAAGCCTTCTTTGCTTCTGATGTGAGCCTTGACTGGTGCTTCCCTGGTTCATCGCAGGTTCTTGCATAGCGCTGATGAGTCGATCGGCTTGACTTTTCCCACTATGTCCACTGTGCGAACTACCCCCAGATCGAAGACTCTCTGAACTTTTCCGTCGGGAATCATTACCCATTTGTGCTCCGCCAACAAGGGTAAATTCCTTATCCGAGATCATCGGCGTCGGAGGAATAGCAGATCCAGCAGCAACGATGCTAGCTGCCTCATCCTCCGATATGGTTCCCTCAGGCACTCGAAACTGTAAAAGAATCTTGAAGCGACTGCCTTTCCCTTCTTCGCTCCTAACACCCAGTTGGCCTTGCATGTTTCTGACTATCCTTGCAGCAAGTGCAAGGCCTAGTCCCAGCACGCGGGGCCTCGATTGTTTGGGCGAATCCAATTGCTGTTGTTGATTCTCTTCCTCTCTGGAATAATAACTTTCATCGGTGGAAACTTGCTCCAGCTCCTGGAAAAGCGCTTCCAGCTTATCGCGTGACATTCCCGTCCCAGTATCGACTACCATAACCTCGACCCCTACATGGCCTGGTATAGTCTGATTAGCCGAGCGCCACATTTCAGTTGTGACTGCACCAGATTGAGTGTTTTGTATAGCATTTGAAATGACATTGGAAAGCACCTGTCGCACACGACGCTGGTCACCGAAAACCGAAGAAGGAATGCCAGGGTGCACCGAAACAGTGTACGAGATGTTTTTTCGCTTCGCTTCGCCGGACAACATCTGAGCTGCTTCTTCGAATGTACCTTGAAGGTCGAAACTTTCATCTTTGATGAGCTCCTGACCCTTTTCGGTGTTTGTCAAATCAAGCAGATCGTTGATCACGTAGATTAAAGATTTAGATGCCGAGTGAGACTTGGTCAAACTCTCGCGTGTTTCGTCATCCAAGGCACCCTCAAGTGCAATCTCAAGATAATTGATGATTGCATTGAGAGGAGTTCGCACCTGGAAATTTTGCAATTTACAAGTTAGCCAGTTAGATAAAGACATGGGAACTGGGACTGAAATACCTCATGGGCGGAGTTGGCGAGAAGTAGGCGTGTTAATTGAGAGGTTTGCATCGCAGCCTCTTTCTGGCGCCAAACTTTGATGAATTTACCGTAGACCACTTGAAGTCGTGTTAGTTACCAAATGAACCACGTCCTTTATTTCCAATAAGAACTTACGACACAAAACAGCTGCGGTTTCCACGTCAGTCTCAGTCCATTCCCGACTTTGTGAGAGCACTGTCTCCCGCCAGGCCGCGAAACTTTGCCGTGGCTCAAGATAGCCCGCGGTCTGTTTACGCTTGGCAATATCATATGGATTACCGGCCCATCTGATCTCCGTGAGTTGTCCTCGACGGAAAAACACAATGAAATCGCTGCCACCAGTGGAGAGTGGCACATAAAGTAATCCAGAAATGAGCTTGAGTCCCGGGGCATAGTGCAGGTCAGGAAAGTCCTTGGCGATATCATGCGAGGCGAGTACAGAGTTCAGCTGGCGTAGACGAAGAAACTCTAGCAGGGCAAGCACTTCATGTGAAGCCGAGTTATCACCCAGAACTTTGGTCTCATCTCTGATTGACAATACTCCATAATCTGCATCGAAAAGTTGTAACAAATCATCCGAAGAGGCGATGATATAACCTGATGGGTTGGCCTCAGTAGGGACAGTATTGATCAACTTTCTGGCTTGTAATCGGGATGAATATGAAAGCCGCTCGATATTTCTAGATACGGTGTCGCCAAGCAATCGGCACATCTTTCGGATTGGAAAAGACACGCGCATGCCGGCAGATCCATAGCTATGGCATGATATCAAGCCCCACAGGTCATTGAAAGCATTGATACTGATGGACATCGAAGAACGAACCTTCATGTGAGCCAGGTACTTCACGTGAATGGGTGACATCGCCCTCAAGTATGCATGGGTCATGTCCAGAGGGGTTTCGAGGTCTTCGAGAGTCCGACACACTAATCGAGATGTAACCTGATCTCTGTCATACAACAATCGCACCTTGTTGATTTTGTATAATTCTCGTGCTTGCGCTGGAATATCTGCAGCGGGAAAATGGAGACCTTTGTAAAGATCGATTGTGACAGTGGGGTCGACCAATTCAGCGACAACCAAGCCATTCCAGGCGCTATCAAATTGATAAACCAATATTCTGTGGAACCCGGTGAGTTCCTTTACCAGTCCCGCTGTGGTGTTCAGAAGCATGTCAAGATCTGTCGCCCTGCCCAGTTGTTCCTGGATTTGTGAGAGGATAGAAAAGACTTCCATGTTTGCCGCCTTGCCTCTCCGCCGACGAGCATTACGTAGAACTCGTAGCGGTTGGCTGATGTTGATTGTTGACGCGGCCAACTGTTCTGCGGTGGGAGTAAACCCCAAACTGCTATTACCCAGGGGATCTGGAGGATGTGCAGGAGTAGCATGACCAGCAACATTCAAAGGATTGACATCGTCATCCTCCAGTTCGAATTCACAAATGATCAAGTCTTTTTGAGTCGGGCAGACATGAGTGGCACACCAAAAGTGGCGAGACTCTCCGGTAGATGTCCGCGTTGACAACGCAAACACTTCTGGTCCGTCAACAGAGGGGTCGTAGGCATCATCACGAACAAAATCCATGTGATCTAACAGCGTGTCTGCCTGATCATCGTTTAATATGTCACAAAAGCTTTCTAGCTCAAAGAGTTCTTTCGGCGAAAACCCGAAAAAGTCAGCGGAATTCTCGCTCACAATCCGGACGACCAGTTGATTAGGCTGCTCCTCTCTCATAGCCACAATGACTCCAAAGCTCTGTATCGCACCGGGAATTCTAATCGGCTCGTCTTCGCAATACTGGAATGCCTTGCCATCACGGCCTGTTATGATCGCATGGCCATTCTCTGTCACGACGTGCTTGAAGCGGGCAGTCAAATGGCCTTGTTCCTGGCCAGGCTGGGATCCGGCGGAAGACTGTGGATGAGCGATGGATTCTGTTCCAAATTGGCTGTCGCTTGGTGCGATCTTGGCATATATTTCAGGATGCTGAACAGCCTCTGATGCCAACGAGTGTGTCGCAAGCTCCGTCTTGTCGTCGATTGGATGTGTGTCATGACGGTGGATATTGGTGGGAATGGTCGGCTCGGCGTGCTCAGGATCAGGATGAGGTTGCGAGTTAGTTTGAGACTGAAGCTGGTGCCAGGTCTGTTCATCAATGAACGAATACTGTCGAGCCCCCTCCCGAGTTGGTGTTAGGGTTGTTCGGTTCGGCGATGGTAGCACGTGCTGTGCAGCAGCATTGGGATCGACTGAAACTACGGACCGAATGGGAAAGACTCGGTCGGCAGCATCAAACCCTGTGCTGGGGGGCTGCTGGTACTGATCGCCTGTAACCGACTGTGATCGATCCCTGGGCTCTAATCTCTTCTCTGCTGATTCCGACAAATCTAATCGAAGGGGATTCGTGTCACTTTTGGACGTTTGATGGTGTATTCCCAGCCCGGTATCCTGAGGCGTCGGCGATGTCATCGCGACCCTGTGAGCTAGAAGCTAAACCCCCTAGTCACTAGCGGGAAGCTAGGTAGCGGTCTCGGTGGATGTTACACAGAGAACTCGGTCGGGCAGGTATATGTTGGGCGTAAATCGTGGAAGATTCGTTCCAAGTCGAATATTCAGGGAGACCGGGGACAGGAAAGATAAGGCATCTGCCATTTATAGTGCTGGCGATGGCGAAAGGTTAGGGCAGCTATCACAACTATCGGAGGCAAAGGCTTCAGAGATGTGCGCCTCAATCCAAAAACCCAAGTGGATCTTTCCAAACGGGCTCATTGAGGATTTCGACCCGAGCAGGAGGCACGGGGATATGTCGATCAAGCTCCGGAGTGAACAGAAGCAGTGGACAAATGCCCAAAGGCAAAGGAATGGTCCCGATGGGGTGGATGAGGCGCGACGATCGGGGAGTGTTGAATGTTGGTGGAGAGCGGAAGAGCCCTATGGAGGGGCAGAGAGAAAAAGAGGCATGTGCGGGTAAAACGCGGTAAACGCCAACGAGTCTTGGGGAAATACCTAGGTACCACCAAATCAACTAGCCATCAATTAAAAATGTCTGAAAAAGGTCTGGAAAAATCCCACCAAATCACGTTCCCTGAAAGCTTAGAAACAGTAATGATTGTCACCACTCGATCCGCGAAAACGATGGACCGAGCTCATTTGGTCATTGGCCATTTAAACGCCATCTCCCCACTACAAGCCACTGAAGAACCCGCTGGAGAGGAGTGATTGGACCAGAAATGGACCCTGGAAATTAAAAAGAAGAATAGAAAACCGGTTATCGATCCGCCAATTGGGGGAAGCGAAATGACATAGGTAGGGGATGTCTGCCGAGGCTGTGTACGGAGTACACAGCATAGACTTATGCTGTACACGGGGAACATCATATATATATCACCATGACGCCATTGTTGAATCCGAAGAAGATTACGGAAACTCTCATCGCTCATCTTGCAGCTCAGCCTCGCATACCCCATGGGCGCTGCGCTGCTGAAATGCCCCAGTAGCTGGCGGTCTGACTAAACGTGTAAAACGTCAATATAGGGATAGTATGCATTCGAAATATGATACTGACCTATCAAATGAGATCCCCGAATGTGGTATCGTGCTTGTCCACAGCCACTAGCAGAGTTCTGTTCAATCAACCAAAACCCAAAGGTTCTGCAGCGACGGCTGGTCACACTGGTGAATGCAATCGTCGAACGCAAATGCAAGTAATCAAGATGAGAGTCCAGTGCTGATTACCGTCAAGACGAGAATGTGATATCAGAACGCAGCTCATATAATTCCATACTACCAACCCATGTTCATCCATGCACGGATCGTGCAATCTAGGCTCACATCCTCCCTATGATGCGGTATAAGATGACCCCGCAAATAAACTGGCAGCATGCGCCTGAATGGGCCTCTGGTCCAAAAAGATCCGCATCTCAACAATCTGCAGATCTGATTCATCGCGGCCTTCCAGATCTAGAATATTGAACTCCCGAACTCGGATAGCGAATTGGTCCGGGTCCGTCTTGAAGGTGGTTTCGGAGGTCGCTTCAAACATAACCGTGCGTTTCATTGCGATTTTCCCTGCCAACGGCGCATATAGCTGTCCGCTTTGAGCGGTTTCTTCATTCGGTGCCGTGCGATTATATGATGTATAGACGGGGCCCTTATCGCTTCCTAGATCTATATCCCAGGCGATGTGAATGTGATGATGGAATTTGGAAACGTGATGGCTGCGCACTTCGAGGAGAGGGACTGCTTGGCTTGCCGCTGTTGGCGGCTCACTGCCGACGAGGATGGGAGCGCTAGGAGTGAAGAAGGGGGTGATGCGATTTTCATCGGGAGAGAGGGAATCGAGCGCCGGTAGGAATCGCCGGAGAAACGTAAGACCCGGGGAGGCAGAGGTGGGGATGGACTCGTAAGGGCCGTGGTGGATGGAGATAGTGCGTTCCATACTGCATTGACTACTAAACGAACACTTTCACTTGAATCGTTGTCATCTCTTTGCTAAGGGGTCATTTCGTTTCTTTGGATGTGTCATGACGACGTAATATTGATATTGGAGAAGTTACATCATGAGGCTAAATAAAACAGATCATGAGCGTCGATAGACTGCATTATATTATTAGATTGCACATATGAACACCTCAGTCCTATGGTGGGATCTGGCGAAACTTTGCAACGTTGATGCGTCAATTGCATGCGCTGTACAGCCAGCAGGAAGTGACGGTATAGGTCTTCGAATATCAGATTGGAATGCAGAGGGCAATGCACACCAAAATTCAGATGTGGCAAAAGAATTCGCCAAAAGCTTTGGCTCCGTAGAGGAGATCGGTGGTATAGGGTGTTTTGTGGGCGGAATTACGGCTGTAATGGGAGACCCGATGAGGCGAGCTCGTTGAGAGTGGATGGCGAGGAAGGCTGTGGAAATATGTCCATTTACCCTGGGAGCTTGAGCCCGGAAAAGGCAGTTTGGACTCTGCTGAAAGTCGTTCGCGGGTGGTTATAAACTTTGAGTCTATTTTGATGAAATATACCATGGTTCACCCACCGACATCAAGAGGGATCCAGGGTGTCATCTGTCGATCGCGTGGATGGGCGAATTCTGCGCTCAGAAATGGGCAAGCTCTCCATAGACAATGTATTCCAGCCTCTCCGTCCCTTCGATCGCGAATCTCGTGGAGCCGCATGGGTGACGTCCGTTGTAAGCTGAGAAGGATCCACAAATCCAGGATACTCTTCGTGTTCGGAAGAAGTGGGTTGCGATCGATGGTTCTGCACAAGGGTGACCAGTTTTCCGAGAACACCAAATTCAAGCTTCAATTTGACACTGTATACCATAGGTTTCAACGTGGTTTGCAGCGCGTAATAACCGATGTATTCAGTAACAAGCAGGCAAATGTCGAGCAGGATAATGACCAAATTGATGGCCAGCAGCTCATACATAATTCTGGTTCGCCGTCGATCCTTGTCGGGCATCATCCTTAACAACTTCACGGTCTCTGTGATGTAGATTCCTGAGATGACAAACTCTTGAGTGCAGAACCAAGCCAATTGCATCCGTTCCATGACATTGTACCCGCGAATGATTGCCGGAGAGGCAACGTATGCGGTACAGAAGGTGAGCACGGTCGTCGGTATCAAAAGAATGACTGCGTCAATGACGATGAGCCATAGAACAAAACGAAGCACTTTGTTGCTATGAACCACGAGATGCAAGCGAGAGTATAGGACCACCGATTGACCCGGGACCATGACGTAGAAGCCAATGGTGGATAAGGTCAAAGAGAGCCATACTGGCGCTAAAGAAAAAAGCTCCAGCAGATAGCCAATGGCGTGAGGGATCACCCCGAGAACTACCGAGAGCAAAAGGGTCCAAAAGTAGAGCCCTCGGTAATGTGTAAAGGTCAAAAATAACAATATAAACAATTCAATGGCGTTGTATAATGCGATGGAAGTGAAGACGACCATCAAGGTCCGCACGGCCACATTGTTGCCATGGTATCCATGGATCCCATCGGGAGGCACGGACAAGTTTGTCATTGTCGGCGCGCCAACTGAATCCAGCTCGGGTATGATATATAGCTGATACAGACTTGGACAGCCGTAAAAAGGGAAGATTTCATGCCCCGCTTCGTGAGAACGCCGGTATGCTTTGCTCCAATGGTACCGGATCCACGGCCATGATAGTTGTCTTAGTTCGAGTCACTCATCTGCGCAATGTTGATCTGGTAGAGAAACTGTCCGTTGGCGCTTGAGGGCGAATCCGAGAGGGTTGGGAGGGAGGTGGTTTGAAATCGGATACAGGGAGGATCTGATCGTCGCAAGTTCGGTTTCCGAAGAATGCGGATGTGACTGCGCGCGGGGAGGTAAATCTGAGGGCGGTGATAAAGTCACAAAGACTCAAAAAACGAAAGGAAGTGAGTACGACCCTGAGTCGAGAAGAAGGGAGAAAAGAAAACCATGCGCCTCCCCGGCTTGTCGCCCCCCCGGATACCAGGCTAAACCGAGAAAGGAACCAAGGAACCGCCACACGTGAGCCTGGATTTTTTTTTTCGCGGACTTTTTCCAGTTGCGTGGGGACCAGAATTTCAACTCTGAAAGTTAATAAGATCTAGCCAACTTGTTCGGTTGATCTTTGCCGAGACCATAATTCTCGCGTGCACAGGCACACGATACACGGAATCCATGGTGAACTCCGTTGCTGAACAGCCAGGGCACAACATACCGGGGTATCCAGCTCTCCAATATCCTAAAAGACGCAACCGTCTCACAACCCCTCAGAACCAAATTTTCGTCCAGATGTCCTAATTGCCGTAGAGGATCCTTCAGGTTTGCACGCTAACATGCCCGGCCCCGGTATGTACTGGGTCAATCGGGCTTGGTTCTTCACAATTGGCCAATGCCACTTGCGGAGAACAACCGTGCGTCTGTTCCATTTTAAGACATTCTTGGACCGGGTCCCGTGACTGGGCCAACACGTGTTGATTGTTGATATCATCTACCACGGGACAGGATACCATGTAGGTATCGTTGTTACTACACGAAGTGCTCCGTACTTTTATCCTTATTTGATTGAAAAAAGTACGCAGATAACATGTCGCGTGTGTATCTTCGGCCCGCCTGTGCCCAAGATCTCCCCAGCATTGCAGATCTGGCCGCACAGGCCATGGTAGAGGATGAACTCTTTATCCATCTCTGCCCGCACCGTTATGAGCATTATGCAGATTTCCGCTATGGCTTTGTTCGTCGTTTAAAGAAGCGACTGGTGACTCCGGGGTATATTATAATGGTCGCGGTGGAGCAGGAGGGTCAGGGTGTGGGTGAGGTGATTCGTGGGTTTGCTGTCTGGGAGAGAAATGGGGAAACGGACGCACCACGGTTGAATGATACCTGGATGAATGGTGAACAGTCCTTAGTCCTTATGTCCTACCCATGGTCCTCCCACTGACACCTCCCTCAGCTCTGGAGCGAAAGCTCCTAGCTTTAGAAGATAGTTATCTCGCACTGATTTGCCCCGATCGCAGTGTTGATCCCCACCGACTTGCGCATTATACGGCTTCTATCTCGGATTGCTTCCCTTTTGCGGATTACCCAGACATGTGGTTTCTTGCCACTCTGGCTGTTGACCCTACATTTCAGCGCCGGGGGATAGGTCAGCAATTAGTACATTGGGGCTTGCAGCAGGCAGTGCGGGACAATGTATCTGTGGGGCTGGAAGCCAGTGTCAAAGGTACTGGGCTCTATGAAAAGTTGGGATTTCGAACAATAAACACACTGGAATTAATGCCAGGCATCATCATTCGAGCCATGCTCTACGACCAACCGCTTCCTTCCGAACAGATCCACCCTTGATCATGCATTAGATACCACGTTGTCATCTGTCAGGGTCGTGCTTATGCGCCACAAACGAGGCTGATAATCCATCAAAATGAGCACTTGCATATACAATTCGCCAAAATATGACCTGAATTATAAAGGCCCTCGATTTCGCCGATTTATCTAGCAGTTTATTGGCATCAGAAGCAATATACAGTCAATATGGCGTCTAAATTGATGCCCGATCACTTGCATTGATGGCCCATGGCGGGGTCAACAGCTGTTCCAACACCCCACCAATTATTGAGTTCAGTGGGAAACGTCTTACACAAAAGCCCAGCCTCGTAAGCTCAGTGGCTCGCTGCTTATTTGCTGAGCGAGGAGGGCTATGCATATAATGTGGACTATGTGCCATGTCTGCAGAAAATGAAAAGTCTCACGCGTTTTTCTTCATCCCCAATTTTCTCCCCGTTGGACTTTGAAAGTTACTGAAAGGTTGCAATCAGAATGACAACCACCAAGTACGATTTTGTCGTAGTCGGAGGTAATCATGCACCCTGTACTCTGCACACATGCGGCTGCCTTCATACTTACCATATGAACAGGTGGTCCGGCTGGATGCGCCCTGGCTGCGGGGCTCGCGAAGTCGGCCCAACGACCTCGAGTTCTGCTCCTAGAAGCAGGTGGGCGCAATGATGATAGAGCCTTACGAGTCGACGGAAAGCGCTGGACGACATTCATGGATGGAAGTGTGAATTGGGGTTATAAAACCGTCCCCCAGGAATACTGCAATGGGCGTGAGCTTGACTATTCACGTGGTAAGGGTCTAGGAGGTAGCTCGGCAGTCAATTTCGGAGTCTATACTGTAGGCGCGCGGGACGACTATGATGAGTGGGCATCCGGACTGGACGATGACACCTTCGGGTGGAAGGAAATGCAAGCCCGCTTCAAGAAGTTGGAGACCTTCAATGGTGCTGTCACACTCTCGGATAATCAGAAGTATGCCAATCCCGTTGCCTCCAACCACGGCAACTCAGGCGGCCTGCAAGTTGGGTATGCCGAGGATTGGGAGGGAGACTTGCCACTCTCGCTGGATGCATTCCAGGCGGCTGGACACGTCCTTAACTTAGATCACAATTCGGGCAATCCCCTTGGCATGGCCGCCACTATCAATTCCGCTAGCAAGGGAAAGCGTACTACGGCTGTTGATTTGCTTCTAGACGCCCCCGATAATCTTGTGGTTGTCACAGACAGCCCGGTCCAACGGATATTGTTGGAGAGCAAGAAGGCCATTGGAGTCGAGACCCAAGGCAAGCAATGTAAGTTCAACATTGACTTCTTGTTACTATTTATATCATGGGGATCTAACATAATTTGTAGACTTCGCCTCTCGGGATGTGATTCTTTCTGCAGGGTCGCTCGACACCCCGAAGATCCTTATGCTTTCTGGAATCGGACCGGCTGCAGAACTCGAGAAGTTCAACATCTCAGTGGTCAACGACCTCCCTGCCATTGGTCAAGGTCTCCGAGACCACTACTTTGTTCCCCTGATTCTTGCCCGTAACCCCGAGACAAATGATCGCAACTCATTCTTCCAAGATCCCACTGCCATGGAAGCCGCTATGCAACAATGGGAAGATAACAACACCGGGCTGTGGACCCGCTACGGCTGTCAAGTTGGGAGTGGCTGGTTCAAATCGGATCGCATCACCTCCTTGCCCGAGTTCAAAGCACTGCCAGAATCAGTACAGGAATTCATGAACCGTGAAACTATTCCTCAGTATGAGATGGTCACTCACCTACCCATTCATTTCATGTTGCCCGATATTTTCAAAGACTACAGCTACGTTGGCCTTGCGGCATTCATGATGAACGAGCAATCCTGCGGCGAGGTGCGCCTTCAGTCTGCTGATCCGAGTGTCCCTCTTCTGTTCAATCCGCGATTCCTCGAGGACCCCTTCGACCGTCGCGCCTGTATTGAGATCTACCGACACCTGCTGGAGGTGAGCAGGCAGGAGTCATTTGCCAAGGACACGATCTCAACGCTCATTGGGCCTGCGTCTGATTCCGACGAGGATATCCTCGAATTTTGGAAGAATTACCTCTCTTCCAGCTGGCACATGACTGGTACTGTAAAGATGGGGAAGCTCGATGCCAGTGATGCTGCGGTCGACACCCATTTCCGTGTGTTTGGTATAGACAATCTGCGTGTCGCTGATATGAGTGTTGTTCCTGTCCTGACCAACAACCACACCCAGGCTACAGCCTATGTGACCGGTGCTACTTGTGCCGATGTTCTCATCAAGGAATATGGACTTGACTCTCAGTGAACGGTGACTATATGACGGGACATAGCTCTTCTCTTATAGTCCACGTTAAAGTGAGGAAGAGTAAATTCTATACAGGACATTGTCTGAGGTAGTTTAACCTTGGATATGCTCCAATTGGGAATTTTATGAATCACTTAATATGGCCAAACATCCCTTCCACTAAACTGCGCTAAATATAGATCTTAAGAAGGTTGAACATCAATATTCATTGCATTTATACTATCTCTTCGATCAACATTCTGTTCCTCGATGTATATATGCTCTTCACGCAAATCAAACAACAGTTGGTGCCTCTGTATCTTCAAATAAGTAGAATCCCATGATAAAAATGAAATACACCTAGTAAACGTTTCGACTCAGAATTGACTCTATCGCGCCTTTGCCTGTGAAAATGGACAGGTAGTCGCGCCCCTCGCTTTGATGACCTCTATACCAGAAAGCATTTCCTCTGCGCCGTGCTCCTTCTGCGGATCCGGTCCGATCGTCATCAAGTCATATCCCTGAGGATGGTACCGATCACCTCGAGCGCCGGGCACTTTACCACCAAGTGCTCTCACTAGCAACGCACCCAGTCCCCACTGAGACCAGAACGTGGGCTCCATGTACCAGGGCTGCAGGGTCTTCCTCTGGAAGTTATATAGCTTTGAATTTGGGTTCGCCTTGTCCTGGACAAGCTTGACTGCGTTGGATTCCGATCGGGGCAACGCAAGATACCGGAGGTATACCTTCCGCGTTTCTCGGATGGAGGCCAGTACGAACGCAAAAATTGGACCGGGAGCCTCGAGACTGGAGATGTGAGCAAAGGGATTGAAATTCCATGGTTTAATATAGGACTTACCCAAGACTGGTTCTCATGACATCGTCCAAGCTATCGCCCAGCATCTTTCGCACGGAGGTTCTGATGAAATCGGGAAGTGATGCCATGGCCGAATCGACATAGACTCTGACGTATTGGTCGCTTGCTGCAGTAGGCTTTGCCACTTCCTCTTCATAGCGGATTGTCCATTCTTGCAGTTCAATCGCGAAGTGCAGGCCATCTCGCCATCCATCTTTGCTGGAAGGAAGCACATCGAATGGAATTTCCATATCTTCTCCCAAGTTCTTGTGGAAGATACCGACAGCACATTTCTCAACGTCAGTAAGCGGGCGCCATTCTTCTCTATCAACAAAGTTGAAAATCTCGGCGAGACCATCACCTAACGTATGCAGCAGGTCATTATCCGTGATTTTGTTGGCACGACGGTAACGGGCATGTCTGGGGTATGAATCAGTAAAGGTGACCAATAAATCATCAAATGCAAGACGCATTGTAAGCACCTCCTACATACAGATAATTCATGCGCGCCACGGCGGACATATACCGATCAGAATCTCTGGGCTTAGACTGCACTTCCCGAAGTAGGATTTCTGTATCAACAGCACGCTTCCCCGAATTGCGCTTATTGTTTTGGCCTGTAACTGCAAATAATTTGGACATGGTCGGGATACCCCCAGCCTGGAATCGTACTTGTAGTCAGTTTCAGGATTCTTCTGATGCTTGGGCAGAAGTGCGCATCGTACCTTCAACAGAGCGATTTTCCGAGCCTTAGCCAGAGCACTTGGAAACTCGAGTTCTTGTAACTGGGTCAGAATTTCATGCGCTTCTTTGACCGTCATCTCTGACAATTGCTTCTTGCCAGGACCGTATGGGGCCTCAATCTTTGCCTTGCGGCGGTACCGAAGAAGCCCAACTAGTACTACATAGCTGGGCAAGGCAATGGCAAGTGTCAAGTAATACTTGCTGCATAGTGCATGGCCCAAGCCAGAAAAATCAAGCATCTTGCCAGTGGGGTCTTGCTGTCAGTGTACTCTCTGTGTCAACGATATGGTCAGCTTCCGGTGCAAAATTAGGGCTTCAGGTTCGTCAAGATACCGTATATGACCTTGGGTTTTGAGCTGTACGAGACGGATATGTATGCTCTTTAGAGACTCGGGATTCAGAAAAAAATATTTGTAAATGCCTCAGAGTGCTAGAGGAGACTTATTATACCTCCTGTGGGACAAGGAAGAATTGACCTGGTTCTGCGTGCCGAGGTTCTTGGTTGCGGTGGATCGCTCACCCAACAAAAAAAAACGATGGAGAAATTCTAGAATGTGAGATATTAGTGCGCTCGATATTGTTGGGCTCGAAATTTCGAGCTTTTCATATGACCTCGGAGCCCGAGAGTTGAATCGTGGTGATAATGTAATCCGGATCCGACCTAAAGTCCATGGTGGAGCACTATGGAACAAATTTCTCTTTGGAAGGAAGTACATGAATGTAATTCTCTGCACGACTAACCCCGACCATGCAATTATTCATATGTTTCATGCGTCATTCTCACAAAGTTCGCATTAATGCTGACTGGAAGGCGGCTTCTACATCAGGTCGCCGGAAACCGGGCGCTCGTCCTAAAATCGCCACTCCGCGAAGGAGTGCTGGTTCGCTTCAGAAACAGGAATCAAAAGATGATATTTGCATGGAGACTCACCCATTAAGAAAGATTCAAGGTCGAACACACAATTTAAAGGTTGTGGAGGGGATTCGGATATTTTGATATCTGTAAACCATGAGTCAAGTCTAAGCTTTAGTAGTGAATGGGATGACCTTATCAACTTACCGGTTTGGTATTCAATAATTTGTGAGCTGCCCCATGAAATAGATTGAAGCCCAGAAGGACATGGACTCGGTGACAAGTCATGCACGATGGGAAACAAGGCAGATCCGTCCAAGTCCACACCTCTTTCTCTAAGATAGCCTTCCACGTCGCGGCAATCGAACCACTGGCCGCCAAATCCACAAAGTTCAAGATTGCTCTGATACTGGAGGACAGAATCCGGATCACCAGGAGCCCCAGACATGGGTAAGTTGCCGAGTATCCTCCGAGGAAACCTCATCTTTGGTGGATAGATGGGATCTCCGTGTTCATCTTTCGTGATATAATGTGTCCCAGCTCCTCCAATACAATAGAACGGTAGGGCGGAAATCTCCAGTGAAGCTCCGCGTTCAGAAGTGACCAAATCCTTGAAGTAAGGATACATCTTCTCCTTGTCTTTGAAACAAGGCACAAGTCTGAATATTCGGAAGACTTCAAGCGGATGAGATCGGGGATCGCTGAATATGCGGAAAGCGTGCTCCAAACTGGTCCGTTTGAGTCTTCGAGTGAAAGAGGTTTCCAAGAATGAGTAAGTATAAAGAATATCGGCCCCACCGAACCGATCAGCCACTTGCACCATCGGCAGATCACAGTCTAGCTCCCCATTTTCCGGTATGACGAGTCGTGATCGGTCAACGCCCCTCTCCACAGCTTCTTGAACCGGGCTGACCTCGGTTTCCGGGGGCTTGTCCATGCATGTGGAGCTCGGCTCGGCAATGGCTTGACTATCGGTAGTGACATTGCTGGTCGAACTGTCATCACACTGCGTGTTCCTGATTGAGTCCGGTGTACAATTCTTAGAGATTTCCTTCGATGAACAGCTATCAAGGTTGGATCCCTCAACAAAGTCCTCCGATGTCGAAGTCAGAAGTCTTAAGATGCTGTCAAAATCCCTGAGGAGTTCGCAATGGGTACCTTGCAGGCTAGCCTGAAGAGTGACCCTGTAGTCTGCAAGTGATCTTGCAATCTTTTGCATCTTCTGTTCGAGGAACATCACTTGTTTCTGAGCTTGTTGTAGTATTCCTTCTTTTTTCAGTCTGTAAGTTCTTTGAGCGCGACGGATTTGACTCCGCCGATCCTGCATGGGGTATCAGAATCGGCTTTCTCCACCATTTCCTATATATTTGATAAGGGCTCAGTACTCCATACCTCAGATAATATAGCTTCCCCGGGACCGTCAAGCCTGCGCCTACCGGCGCTCCTTGGCGGACGCTTTTGACCCGTCGCTGGCGAATCTGCTGGCATTGTTGAACACACAATATCTGGCACCTCTTGGATCTCAGGTCCAGGGATATATTCTCATTTGATTTCAATAGAAATATGGGTGACAGGCATTCAGCAGCTTGATTACTATACGTGAAGGATTTCTCCTGGGCTCTGGGATGAGCCAAACGGCTGATAATGTAATCGCCTCGGCCCACCTGACCCGTTATACGTAGTAGTTGAGATGAATAGACCAATTGGATGGAGTGTTGGGGCATTTGTATATAAATAAGGAAATTCCCGTCGCTGATTTATCGGAATTCAAAAAAAGGTTGAGGAAAAATCTGGCCAACGCCATGCGTAGGGGATCTCCGCGTTTTGCTTTTGCCCGAGTAATTTCTGTTACTTCGTATAAGTTATTCACATCAAGCGCAAACGTCTTGGAGATTCTAGAACAAGACGATTACTATATTACACCGTCGCGGTGTTTAATTATGCATACATGTACAGAAAGTGTTTAGAACCTTGGACATACCTTCCTAAAAGAGCAATATATCAATAGCTCATTACCAAATTGATCTTGCGCAAGTAGATAAATGGCATTCAAGGTATGAAAAGCATGCCTGATAATAAATACTCCATTCATCCTGCCACAACAAAGAAATATGACAGAAATCTCAAAACACCACCGTGTCGCAAATAAAGAATGGAATCACGTATCGCGCCACACACCATTACGCAAAGAAGGAAACGTGACATATCAAGGGGTTGGAAAACAACAACCTTATATGATTCAGCTTAACAGCCGAAGGAGGGATAGGGCGAGTTTCGCCAAATAGGACGTAACACCAAAGCCGGGCAAAACACAAGCAAATTAACAAAAAGCACAGACGCGCGGGTATCGAAGGATGATCGCAGAATGTAGGCAATCAGGACGCGTGATGAAGACAATCATGGCAGTCAGTTCACCATGGGCAGACCATGGGTAACCTCCTGCTTGCTCACGCCATCGGATACATCGCCCTGGTTCTCATCCGTGCGCACCCGCTTATTCTGCTGGAAGTTGCTATTGAGGAAGCTGGTGTCATCAGGGTGCTTGCGCATGCCGAGCGTTGCAGCAGCAATGCGGTTAAGGGAGTTCATATCATCAGAAACCGAGCTTGGATGCTGGGTCGGTGGTCCAGGGGCAGGCACGGAGCCCGGGGGCTGGAGTTCTGAACTCCAGCAGAGGCAAGAGCCAAATCAGCAGTACGAGGCTGACTCAAGTCGATGTTGGCAGGGAGCTCGGGAACTTCGCCCTGGGCTTCGAGGAGGCGCGATTGCAGGTTGATGATGTACTCGCGCAACTGGTAGTTCTCGCTCACCAGGGACTTGACCTGGTCTTTGAGAGGGTCGATGTTTTTGACCTCTTCCTCAAGCTTGCGAATGTAAGTTTCCTTGCGCTGGCGGAATGCACGCTTTCATAGTCGTTAGTAAGATACGGATTTGCACGGGTCAACAACACATACCTGGGCAGCACGGTTCTGCGCAGCACGCTTGGAAGTGGACAGCTCGCGCTTGCCATAGCTCTTGGAGCCGCCATCAGACGGGGGAGATCCCTGCGGTTGGGTGGGAGTCTGAGGGGCGCCGAGCATGGCACCTGATATGGCCGGGTCAATATTTGCCTGATCGCGAGGGCTAGCATTGCTGGGCTGCAGGTGCTGTTGCTGGCCTGGTGCACCTTGAGGGCGACCGCCCAGGTGGTGCTGAGCAGCTAGAAGCTGGTCATGAAGAACTATTAAATCAATCATTAGCAACGAAGGAATGATCACATGCGCTGCGCAACTCTAATTTATTTAGGTAAGGCGACATAGGAAACGAGGATGCAGTGGTTTTTGGCCCCAAAGACCATGAAACCATAGAACCCTCGAATCCTCACCTCCCAATTATAGCAGTCGAGCATCAGGTTCGCAAATTGATGATCACGTACCCTGATCCGCATGGTCCTATGATCATACGTTAGTACTAAGCATAGCAGATCAAAGTACGTAGAAGCTTGGGCGAGGGGGCAAGGCATGAGGGGGCTCGACGCGTCGAGGCATCAAGGTCAATCCCCAACACCATCGCAACGCGACAGAATCGTCTTGAGCCCGAGGTATACAACGAATTACCCAACGCGGGGATATAGATCTGATGACAAACGCGTTCGAGATAGGCTGCTTACCTGAGCAGAAGTCTGCATGCTTGGATGCGGCGCTGGCGCCAGTGCAGGCTGCATCGATAGGGAGAAAATGGAGCGGTAATGGAATTGGGCAGTGGCGTTGCACAATACTCCTAATTCCAGCAAGAATTGAGAGCAAAGAGGGCTTTTCTTTGCTAATATCAAGATGTAGGTCAAATGAGGTAAGCAGTTACAGATCCGATGCTGTAAGCAAGTTGATGGACCGCGAGGAGGAGGAGGATTACTTAAGGATTCTGAGTCAGGGGATTTGGGCGATCGTGGATTTATGTAAGGAGGCGGTAAGCGAAGTGCCCGCCCACTGGTAGGCGGTGGTCAGGGCGGTGGCGTATCTAGACTACGACTCACAAGGCACGTGTTACTTGGTTTGTTACCACATCTACTGGCTATGATTGGGTTTAGCCACAGTCTCAGAAACACTCATCATCTCCTTCCAATCGTATTATTCTGTCGTACATGGACAAATATAGGTTTATTGCTGACTGCATCCCGCCTGCATCCGGTCGCGGAGCGGTTCTACTTGTTCCCGATCGAGTCAGCATGATGTCATGCTCACCGATAACGTATCTCGATACTTGTATACTTGTGCCCGGGGCAAAAGGAATGTGGGAGATGTACAACATACCAGGTACCACATGTAGCAACCAAGCAATGGAAAAATAAACATTTACCCGAGGGCAACCCTATCATCGAACAATATTGGCAATGAATCATGAAGGATATACATACACATAACAGCCAAAGTGAAGGATCTACACTCTCGTGATCGCGTATACTGCCAGGTGCATACCTACATGCACATATGTATGGAGTAAACCTCATATCCAGGTATTTACTCCAAAACACAGTCAGCCATACACTTCCCCGTCCATATCGTAACTATGCACAACGTTGAAGCATTACTGCTGCTTCTTCACACTACCCTTAATAGGTTGTGCCTGGATAATACCGGCACCAACCTTCGCTGACTCCGTCCAGCCACGCTGGTGCATCCAGAAACGGGCAGCCGGGTCGGCGCCATGCAAGGACGCCCGCCGAGCATCATCTTCAAGAGACGCACGAGAGATCTCAGGCGCTTCACCTGCGGGTGTGATGTCGTCCTCGCCTCTGCTCTCCTCTGCGTCCGCATGAATACTCGACTCAAGATAGCGCTTGCGCATGAGATAACGCTCAGCGCGCTCCTTGCGGGAATTGGGGGGCTCGATGCGGGCCATACCAGCTCGCACAGCATACCGTACGATAAGATACAGGTGCTCCGAAAAGAAGATTGCCAAAAGCAGAGCCCAACCCTTGATGTCTGTCGGTTCGCCATTAGGGCCATGCTGCGCGTTGCCGCTGAACATGTACACAAGTGCTGCGCTAGTGATACTGCCAACCCAGGAGAGGAATCCCAGGCTATCAAGCCAGGGCCCAATCGTGTCAGTCCGCAAAGGCACAGGTCGACGGAATTCCATGCAGATCTTGAAGAAGTCCGATCGCAGCTCGATCCAATTGTTCACGAAGAAAGAGACGGGAACAAGTGGCCATGTGGGCGAGAAAAGGGCCAAATATCCAAACTGGATGCACATCTCGCGCAGGTCATCGGTCACGTCGTAATCTGAGAGCTCGACCTCGTTTCGCACCCGTGTGAGGAACTGCACTTCTTCGGCAGGGTCATCGAAGGACACGACGGGTCGCTCTGGAGATTCTTTGTCGCCGTTTCGGTCCATTTTTCCATTGCGCTCCTTGTTGTACTTCTTATATTTACGGAGCGCATGCTGTTTGATATAGGGAACAATAGTCTCCATGGCGAAGCCAACAATCTGGGCCGTGACAGTGAAATAAATAACCTGGTTTCGCAGGCGAGCTGGGTCGATTTGGAACTGAGATTGCTTTGCGACGGCGTGCTCCTTCGACACGAACGGCCGAACAGTCAATCGGAACACATCGAGGTAGGGGACGATCCAACTTGCAAATGGCACATAGACAAAGGCCGTCAGGAAGATAGGCATATAGGACGTGATAAAGTTGATAACAAAGACCTTCTGGGTCAGTGCAACATCATAAGCGTCCTTTGTTTCATGGTTCTCGTAGTCATTGAGCTTCGTGGCGATGGACGTCAAGATAGCGCTCATAGTTGGCACAAGGGCTGACAAAAGAATGGTTGGGATGAAAATCTGGACGGTAAGCTTCAGTGTCAATAACCGGGAGAAGTCATCATACCAGGTATGTTTTCAAGGGACCGTTATAAAGCTCCGAGATAAAGATCTCGATGGCAAAGCAAGTTGCAATAATCGCACCTAGAGCAATCACCGCAAGCAAAGCGAACGGGATCTGAAGTAGCTGCCGTTGCATGCGCTTGGTTGCCGGGAAGACACCGTGGTTCTCACCAGTACTCTCATCGCGGGTCTCTGTCTCGGGCTTGAACTCCCGTCTCTTGGTCCTAACGGCTGAGACATTCTTCGTCTGCCACCTGCAGCTCAGATCAACCTCCTGGCGCTTCCAGTATTCCACAAAGATAATACACCACAGACAATTGACAACAGTATAGATAATGGAAAATCCCCCAAGAAGGAACCAGCAAGAGAATCCAAAAACAGCCGGGAAGATCAAGAATCGAAAGTACGACTGCAGGAACGAAAAGTAAAATCCAACCTGCCACCTATGTCAGCACGGGATCGTTCCACATACACTGTAGCACATGAACATACACTTTCTCCAAATTTATTCCGAATTTGATCCAAATCATCTTCGGAAAGGAATGTCTTCGAGCTCCAGTCGCGCATCCATTTTTTGTTTGTCTCAACGTCGTGGAGGGGGAAGATAGCGGTGACATTCTTCCATTCGCCATGGTTGGGTGTGATCTCGGCGCCGCCCTCTTCCTTTGGGTTTGTGATCATTTGGTGGATCACCCGCAGACGCTCGGCTTCTGTCTGGGGCTCAGTCGAGTTGGAGGGTGTTGGTTCAGCATTGCGAATGCCATAGAGCCAGTCACGTACGCTGTGGGTAGACAAAAAGTCGAAATTAGAAATTGGTACAATCTCGAAGAACGACCTCACCACTCACCGCGATCGATAAACTGCTTGCTTCAGCCGCTTCTCCAGAGCTTTCACAAAGATAAGCAGAGACGACTCATCGCCTTGTCTAACCTCTGCCTGTAGCCCGACTTGAGCCAATGATTGAAGCAGCTTCTCTAGCTGCCCGATTGACTGCGATTGGTCTGCGATGGTCAGATTGTGCCCCGCAACATGCCACCAAGAGCGCTCTTTTACTTACCTACATCTCCGAAGCTGTAGCGGATAACATAGTCCACATGGAGATTGCACTCCTGGGCATTATCCGGGATTGTCGCCATTACTGGGGAGTTGGAAGAGGAGAGAAAGTGGGACGCGCAAATCGCGGTGATCTGCGGGTCGATGCCGTCACCTGGCGCTAAAGAGCTTAGGGCGCAGCCATCAGGGATCGGACGGCGTGTACAACGGATGGTGGGATCTCCAATTAAGCAGCATATTCATGACGTTCAATTCAGGTTCTCGTATCTCGTCTACCTCGTTTCTCATTTTCAAACAAAATGAAACAGTGAGCGTTAGCGCATACACAGATGTCATGCCAGCACTGTAGACCCCCAACCTTCCCCTTGATCGATCCGCGATGAAGGCCCTAGTATACGCGATGTAAATCACCCCGATCCGATCGTTTCTAAGTCATTTGTGCGTTGTAGTATGTTGCATTACAGATACAATCTCCGAATCCAATCGTGACCAATGCTTTAAGCTCCCTCCGCCAAACGTGTCAAGGCATCACCCTCAACCATCATCTTCATCCACTCATCCATGCCGCGTGCACCAACTTGCTCGTAGAACTTAATGCTGGGCTCGTTCCATGTGAGCACACTCCACTCCAACCGCCGACCCGACACCTCAAGCACCTGCTTCGCAAGGTACTTGAGCAGCTTGAAGCCGTACCCATTGCCGCGTGCGCTGGGCTGCACATACAAATCCTCGAGGTAGATACCGGGGGCGGAGCGCCAGGTCGAATAATTGTAGAAGTACAGGGCCATGCCGACAGGGACCGGGTTTGGGGTATCGGCGGTCGGAGGTGGGATGATGAGAGCTGTGTATACGGAGCCGCGCTTGGGCGGGGTACCGGGGAAGGAGAGGGTTGCTAGGAGGGATTCTTCGGTAGCTTCAACTTCATGAAGGGCTTTTTCGTAGTCAGCTAGTTCGCAGATGAACTGGAGGATGAGGGGGACATCTATCTAGTGTTAGTTGCGGGGTGTGTCCGTGCTATCAGGCGCTCAATTGGGGCACACTTGCCCTCGGGCGTCGCGAGACGAATGGTAGGTTGTTCGGTCATGGTTTTGGAGAGAGGATGCAGATAATCCATGACAAAATTTGGAATTTGCAGGGGGTTTGTGGAGCTTTTATACTTGCCAGTGTATGACTCTTTTTGCTAAGCTTCGTGACAAGCTATCCCGGATTAGGCAATATTGCCGATATAGTGAAATGGGCGCCAACTACTTCGTTGTTTACATAGACGACTGCATATGTGCAGATAGAGAAAAATACGTATTATCTCTACAAAACACTATTGTACATAGCAAGGGACTCCGATGTGTAACCAATGCCCATGGGTATAAATGCCAATTACTTAGACATGATGGCCGACATCCACTTTTGTTCATCGGTTCTGTGCTCGTTAGTAACTGTCGTATGCAAAGAACAGGTCAGATAACTCACCGGTCGAAATGGAGTAACATTCCCAAAACAGGAATCAGCTGCTTCTGGTAGTTCTTGTCCCTCTGTTCCAAGAATTGCAGAAGAACGTTCTTCAGATACATGTAGTCAATGGATGCGTTGATGGGGGGGCCGACAGGAGTTTCGCTTCTGCCGGGAGAGACGATTGCTCGCCGAGAGCCCGAATCTATAGATGACCGCGAGGACGGTCGACCAGTCGGGGACCCACGTAGACGGACGTCTTCTCCAAGTGTCTTGTGAGATCTCCGGAGCTTCTCTAGTCGGTTACTTGTCTCCTCCACAGAGCGACGAAGCTCTGCCTTGTCCTTTTCAAGATCACGGACTTGCTTCTCACTTTCATCGAGCGCATCGCGAAGACCGGCCATGGCCTGTCGAATCTCCGTCACCTCCTGTGATGACTGTTCAGAGACCGATTCCAGCTCATCACGACGGCGACGCCAGTCCTTTTGGGACTGTTCAAGTTCCTCCTTGTCCTGCTCTGCCGTGCGCAAAGCTCGTTCAGCTTCGCGCACCTTGCCCTTTAGTTCTTCCATTTCACGGGCACGACGTCGGCCTTGAGTGCTGGCCTCGTCTTCGGCACGATCTCGCTCTTCGATAGCAGCCTCCATGCGTTCTTTGAAGTCTCGCACCTTGGACTCCGAACGACTCTCAATATCATTGAGCAAGCGGCGCATGGTCTCGCCTTCACGAGTTCGCTCGCTAAGCAGACGGTGGGCGTCAGCCAGCTCTTCATCCAGGCTTTCGCATCGCTCACGGGCCTCCTTCATTTGCATTGCAACTTCCCCAGTCTGGTCACGCATGCTGTTCATTAGACTCTGGGCGCTACTGTGCTGGGCTGTCTTTAGCTGGATCTCATCTCGAAGGCTGCCGAGCTCCTTGTTCAGCTGGGAAATCTGTTCATCCATCTCCCGCATCTTAGTCCGGGCACTCTTCAACCCATCCTGGGACTTGGAGAGGTCGCCAATGATTTTGTCTCTGGCATTGATAGCATCTTGTTTCTTGCTCTCGGCAGATCGCAGGTTGGATTGAGCAACAGAGAGGTTCTCCTCGGCCTTCAATCGGGTGTCAGTCTCCTGGCGGATCTTCTTATTGAGAGAGCCCAATTCTGTCTCTCGCTCCGAGATCTTCAACTTCGCAGTCTTCAGTTCAGCACGCAGATCCTCATGCTTACCCTCGAGGGCCTTCAAGTCAGAATTCTTGCTGGTGAGTGTTTCTTTCAGGGTCTTCAACTCGGAGGACTCGGCACGTAGGCTGCGCAGTTCTGGTTGGACCTTCTGAAGAGTTTCCCGCAGGTCTGTAAGATCCTTGAAACGAGTGGCAGCCAGCTGTTGGGCAGCGGAAAGATCTGTCTCCAAAGTAGCAGAGCGAACCTTGAGGTTCTCGAATTCCTCTTTGAGAGACGTGTGCACCTTCTCCGAGTCGGCTGTAGTTGACGCGCTACTGGTGCGGAGGTCCACCAGTTCCTTCTCCAGCTTGCTGATGGTTTCTTCGAGTGCAGACTTTTCTGCTGAAAGCTCCTTGATCTTGTCTTTAGCTGCTACATGGTCCTGACCCAAGTTGACAATGTCATCGCGCAGAGACTCGATCTCCTCCTTCAAATCCTCTTCGCCTTTCAGTTTAGAGCTGAGACGGTCAATGGCAGCCTCCTTGTCCGAAAGTTGTTTAGTGAGAGATTGGATCTTCTCCTTGAGCTCTTCTAGCTCTCTGGTGGCCGGGGCAGACGCTGCTTGGGGTGGTTGATCGACAGGAGCTGCGTCAGCCGGTTTCGAAGGCTCCTCTGCTTTACCGCCCTTCTTCTTTTTCTTGTTTTTCTTCTTTCCTCCCGCGCCAACACCGCCAGCGGCTTGAGTTAGCTGTGCCTCATCTTGGGTAGGAGCAGGAGTAACAGCAGGGACAGTAAGAGTGGATGCTTCCTGGGCTGGCGTCAGGCTCTTGACAACCTCATTGAAGTCGGCTAAATCTCCAGCGAAAATCGTCTCCCTGGCCTTTACCCACGCCGTGTTATTCTTCAGGTTCTCATCCACGAAGTCGAAAATGTCTTGAAGTTTAGCAGAGCTTGTAGACTTCTCGTTAATCTCAGTCTTCAAGTTAGAAACGGTAGACTCAGTATCCTTAAGCTGGGTTCGGAGACCATCGACTAGGCCCTGGAGCACAACCAGCTTTTTCTCGTCGGATTGCTTTTCCTCCTTAGTCTTTTCCAATTGAGCCACGAGTTCCGAATCAGGCTCAACCTTTTCGTAAGCCTGCTTCTGAAGCTTTTCGATTTCTTCGCTCTTCTCTTTGAGTTGCGATTTGAGCTTCTCAACTTCCGATGTGGTTGATTCAAGAGATGATCCCGCAGACGCTAGCTTTTCTTTCAAGTCATCGATATCGGCCTTCTTAGAGGTTTGCAAAGTTTCAATTTCAGCATCCAACTTGTCTTTGGTTTCGCGTAGCTCGACGAGCTCACGAGTAGCTGTCTCCAGGTTCTGCACCATGCCTTCCGTGGACTCGCGAGTGACGGATATATCGCGCTTGAGCTTCTCAACTTCGACTTTAAGGCTTTCGACCTCTTCTTGCTTTTCCTTGAGTTCACCTTCCAATCGGGGAACTTCGTTATCAAACGAGAAGAACTCTTCGCTGGTCTCCTCCTTGGTTCCGTCTGTAGCCTTGCTTGTCTCACGCGGCTTCTCCTTGAGGCCAGTTAACTCGTCCAAGGCCTCTTTTGTAGCCTGCTGTGCTGCTTCAAACTTCTTTCTGAAGTCCTCTCTTTCTCCCGTAACGCGCTTCAGCTCTTCCATGACCATGTCACTTTTCAGGGCAGATTGGTTGAGGTATTCCGTGAATGCTTTGGGTTCGGCGATCGAGGTGAGCGGGGTGTTCTCTCGTAGAGCAGCCTCAAAAGGCTCGATGGATAGGACGCGCGAGTGAGCCGTGCGGTAAGCCTTGAGCAGTTCTAGATATTCAGTTAGTCTTTCGCCCGGAGACCTGATTAGGCAGCTACCTACCATGGTATCGGGACTCCAGCTTATCGAGTCGTCGGAGCTTTGCGCGAACATCTGGCGGGAGCACATTCGGGATCTCCTTGGTCTCTGTTTGCTGTGCTGTCTCTTTGTCGGGCGTTTCCGCCGTTTTGCCTTCGGCCATCTCTGTGCCTTCTCCGTCGTTGGAAGCGCTTACTTCCGAAGCAGCTCCAGGTGTATCTGTTGAAGGAGTTCCGGCTCTGCTAGATTCATCGTCGTCACCGATGGCGAATTCAGCTTCAAACTCCTTGGGGTCGGGTCCCCTGACGGGGGTGCCGGTGTTGCGTCTCGGGCGGGTGCGCCGACTCGGGGATTGGTTACGTCCGGGGGGACGACGAGTGGAGTTGGTGCGGGAGATATTATCCTGGGCGGATTTTTGGCGGGCTTGTTCCTCTGCGATGCGAGAGTCGATGGCGTCGCGAAGGCGCTGCGATCATTAGTTGGGCGCAAGACACACATCAAAGAATAGATACCTGAAACATCGCCGCGGTTCTGAGAACCCAATGAACCACAAAATTAAGAAACGCTAGACCGCTGGCAAAGATGTTCACCAGGAAGAAGATGATGATGAGCAATTGACCACGGGGCGGAGTGAGGGGGAGCATTGGTTTCAAAGAGAGGCCAAGGCGGAACTGCCATGTGGAAGGTCGGTTGCGGCTGTCCATTCATATTGTCTGACCGATGCTCGTATGTTTAAGCAATTCTGTACTCGGGAGAATCCGTTTGTTTAATCTTATGTATATTGGAGATTGTTCTCGTCTCATATCGAAATGGAATTTGTGGACGTTAGTCTTATGACTTGTTCTCGAATGTATATATTGTTGGTACCTACTGGATCTAAGTGTACATAATCTTCCCAAAACAGCTATTAGTGAAACCGGTACCTATCAACAAACCTAGTACCAGCAAATACATGTGTGTGACCATACGTACCGGATTTTCCCTGCTGGGTGTGGCTTTCCTACTTGAGCTGCCACCGCTTTCATGAGGGTGCTTAGGCTCAGGCTCACTGAGTAGATGTCAGCACGGAGTCAGATCAGTGATCATGCTCAGTTTAGTCACGTGTAGAATGGCTGTCGCTCAGTGACTGCTCATTGCATTATTTGTGCATTTTTTTCCCTCTGTATTTTTAAGTAATTTGATTACAGGTAGATAGCAGTGGCATTGGCGTATAGTAGGTTTGGAAGCCTTTGTACAATGACTTAGGCATTTATTATAGTCATATACTTATACTAATACGATATAAATTGGTTCTTACTAGGTTTGCTACGCTTGCTTGCTTCTCCCAACCCAGGCCGCCTTGGAGTGATACCCTTATCTCTATAAAGAGGGAGATAAGGACTGCTCTTATCTTCGCTATCGACTAGCTTACTTCTCTGTCGGTTCCGCGTACTTAGGATTCTGGAGTGGCAATCCCTTCTCATTCATGAATGACGCTGACTTCTCCTTGGCCTTACTACAGATTCGGAGAATGGGCCGAGCAAGAACCAGATCAAGGAGAATTAGGGGAGTAGAGTCACGTCGAGTTTGGAGAGGACAGCGCGATTGCTGGCATCTGGACCCTAAAGCAAGATTGTGAACTTGGTGCGCGCGGAAGCTATATTCACGACTGTTCTTAGGAGTTGGAAGCCCACTGAGTGAACTGGTAGATATGGGCGCGGTGAGATCCTACAGTCAAATACTCCGAAATTCTTAGGAGATCCTTGACTTCCGGTGTGACTTCCAAACCCCGTAAGCAAATCATATGGCAAGTCGGGTGTTAGGACCGGCGTGCTGGCGGGTCCTGGCAGGTAATATAGAACTAGAGTGAAGGAATAGCAGGGTGCTGGTATATTCATAAACTAATCGCTAAAGAGCTAAGTTCCCCTAGCAGTCTCTGTATGGATGACCTTTGGCGGGTCACGGGACTAGGTCACCTGACCCGGCAGGCCTTAGTCTCCCTAGTGCGGTCTCTGGCGGGGGGTTATGCTACCCCTGCTAGGTCACGGGTTCTGGGTCATAGGACTAGGCGGGATCTAGCCTGTGAGGCACTCTCCTAGCAGAGGGTCGTAATATTTTCCCCCCTCCTTAAAGAGCTGCGTCCTCGTAGCTAAGGGTCGGGGGTCGAGGGTCTCTTATAGTCGAGATAGGGAGGGTTCGAAAATAGTATATATGTCTAGCTATCTAAAAGAGGGTAATTTATCTTTATAGTGGAAGGTGTAGATAGACTCGGAGCTTTAAGCGTTGTCTCTCTTCGTCGCGTATGATCTGAGTTCTTTGTGTATTTTTCACTTATCTCTCTTCGAGTTATAGCTTTCTTCTTTCTACACTTCCTCGTCCTTTCGCTTTTTCTTCTTATAGCTTTTCGTCGCTTCGCTTTTCTTCTTATAGCTTTTCGTCGTCTCGCTTTTCTTATTATAGGTCATTTCGACTTATTATAGTAGCTCCCTTTCCTCCGGTCGCGAGTGCGACGTATACCTCTATTAATAATTACGCCCCTCCGGCTATCGTCTCCCCTACTAACCTTACGAGTACGTAGTATCGGCGTTATATAGACTATCTTAGATATAACCCGGGGTATATATATATCCCTCCGCCTAGCGGGATTAACGTTAATACTCCTTAGTATAACTATTATATAAGGAAGCGGTAGTCTTATATAATAGTAAGTATAGACCTCCGCTCGTATTAGCGGTTATTAACGTTTCTTAGGTCGATTCTAGGCTCGACGCTTAAGCTAATACTTATATTTTAGCGCCCCGTACTACCCCTATATAGAATATATCGTTCCTTACGATTATATAGGGGTTTTAAGGTACGCGGAATACTTTAACTCGAGATATCTATATAGGTATAGTTACGCTTTTCAGTCCTCCTTACGCTACGCCCTCTCTACCTCCCCTACCCCCTCCGCCCCTTTCGATATAGGTTTTATTAATAAGTCGGGTTATAGGTTAGCTTCGGGCGCCTTCTCGGGCTAGGTTACGTATATAGCGGTAAGGATATAGGCGTATCTTAGAGGTTACTCGTCTAGTATAGGTAGTTATTACGTTATACCCTTAGAGAGTATTAGCTATATTACTTTTTATCCTATTTTTTAGCGATAAACTCCTACGTATCCTTATTATACGTCTATAGTCTCTTTAGGATATTTTTTATCCGCTCCTTATCTTTACTAGTATTCTAGATCCTCCCCTAACCTATCTATAGCGTATACTAGCGTAGCTAGTTATTTTTTAGGGGTCCGTTCGGTAGTTAGCTATTAGGTTCGGTATTCTTAAGCCTACTCCGATCCTTTTAACCTTCCTAGAACGTATCTAGTAGTAGATCCTAGGTTATATTAACTTCTTCTTTACGGATCTTCCTCGGCGTATTATACGCTCTAGTTATTCTTTCTTTTTATTATAGTAGCTCTTAAATACTAGTATATCTTCTACGTTTTCTCTTAGCTCCTAAGTATTTTCCTTATACCCGTATCCTCTCTATTTAATAAGGTATTCGGCGCTTTTACGGTTATCGGTAAGGATCTCCTCGATCTCCTATTTAGGTTAGTTATCTACTAGTATAGGATCGGGCCGCTCTTAAGCTTTTAGCGGATCTCCGTAGTATAGCTCTAGTATTAAAGTATATTATATAGGGTAGATCTTATAGTATCTTAGCGTAAGGATTAGCTAGTATATCTATTATCCTACTATACCTACTATCGTGAAGAGTCCTATATAGCGGTTATTTAGCTTTTTATACGGTCGTCCTAAGTTAATATATTTATTTCTTAGTATAACCTATTATCCGATTACGAAAGACTTCTCTATATATTTCCTATCGTAGGCTCGCTTTATTATAGTTTTCGACTTTTCTAGGCGCTTTCTTAGTGTTTCTTATATCTTTAGTATTTCCTTTACGCGGCTTTCGGCGTTATTATAGGTTTCTATCTTCTTATCTAGTACTAACGTTCTTAGTTCCGATCGGAATCCTAGTAGTACTTCGGCTAAGGATATTTTTAGTACGCTATAGGTAGTAGTATTATAGACGATCTATATAAGGGGGATCTATCTTATCTAATCGTCTTAGTACTAGCTTACTATATTACGTAGGTAATATTTAATACTCTAGTTTTATCTCTCTATCTACCTATTAGTTTATAGGTAATAAGCTATTAATAGTCTATATCTTATAGCGAGGAGGTAGTAGAAATAGCTCTAGAATTTTAATATAAAGATAGTACCTCTATTACTAATAAGGTTTTCTAGTATTCCCTATAGGGGTATAACCTTTTTATAAAATAAGGTTACGAGTTCTAGCGAGTCTACGTCCTTAGTATAGGAAATATAAAGGGAATATTTTAAGAATAGATCGACTATAACTATAATTACGTCGTAGGCCTTCCCCTCCTATTTTAAGGGTAGTAGGCTTATAATAAAGTCTACGCTTATCTACTAGCCTAGTCTCTCTAGTACTAGTAGTGGTTTAAGTAGTCTATATAGCTTATAGTATTTAATAGTATTAGACTAATAAATCTAGTATATAAGGACGTAGTCCTATATATCCTTAATAAGGGTTTTCTATTAGTATTTATATCTAATAGCCTATAGTATTCTTTTCCTTATATAATAGCCTACCTATAGATCGTTATAGTAGATCCTTATAATTTCCTAGTAGATTATAGGTTCGTCTTCGGGAATATAGATATAGTTATTATATCTTAGTAGTCTATCCTAGCTCCTTACGCTCTATTATATCTTCGGGGGTTATTTAAAGTCGCCGGTTTCCTATACCCTTCTAAGCGTATTCCTATAGAACTTATTCTTCGCCTATATCTTAAGTATAAGTTCTACTATAGTTTCTAACGGCTCGTAGGTATATACGGTTTCTCCTTTAGCTACTTCGCGTACCTCCTTTTAACTTAGTAGTCTATTCGTCGCGGGCTTAGTAGGGATCTCTATATATATTATAGTTATTATAGCGCCTAGATATATCGTATCCTATAGATCCCTTTAGTAACTAGCGCCTTTACTAATAGTCTCCTTAAGTCTCTATATAAAGATATTACGATTTATAGCGTCCGGTAGCTTATCTACTATATAGTTAGGTCGTCTACTAAGAGCGTCTATAGGGTTCGTTTTCCCTAGGCGGAATATAATAACGAAGTTAAAACCTATAAGGTATTCTACCTAGTATACCTAGCGTCTCGTAAGCTCCTTAGTCGTTATAAATTAGACGAGATTAGCGTAATCCGTTATTACTATAATTAGGTACTTATTTCCTTTAAGGAAGTAGCGCTATTCCTTAAACCCCGTAAAGATTACTAGTATTTCTTAATCGCCGACCTAGTAATTTCTCTTTACTACTAGTATCTTCCGGGAGTAGAAGGCGATAGGGTACTAATATCTATCTTTATAAAGCTATAATATAATTACGTAGATAGCGGCTCTTAACGTATCCGTTTCTATTATAGTTTTTAACGTAGCGTCGAAGTATACGAGTATCGGCGTAGTCTAGAAAGCGGTCTTAGTCCTTTTAAAAGCTTCTCGCGCTTTTTCCGTAAAGACGAACCCTTCCTAGCGCTTATTTCTTCCCTTCTTTTATACGTCTAGCCCTTTAATTAGATCGTTAAGGGGGGCGCTAATTATCGACTATTTCCTAATAAAACGTCGGTAGAAATTAGCGAAGCCTATAAACTACTATA